GTTTTCACTCGATTGCTTTATCGGCACACTAGCCTCTGCCAAGTCGGCATCGTTGTCCCCCTCGCTATGTTTTATCTTGTTGCTGCCTTCACTTGTGGATTCTGGTGCTACCTCTATGGTTCTCTGTGGTTTGCTCGCCATTGTTACACTATTACGTTGTTCTGCTGAGCATGAGACTTGAGAGTGGGATGCCGTTGGAGTATTACTATCTTTGAGGAAGCTTCTCGCACTCGTCCCTCCCTTGTCATCTGGCGGCCTTCTTGTAGTCTGATGAGTATCTTCCTGTGTGGAGTCCATTGCTAGGACGGCGGGAGAGGTGTTGAGGTGTTTAGCCGTGTCCATCCTCCCACGCAGTTTTTGTGCGTTCATGCGTTGTACGCCTCTCTTGCCGTGTTTCCAGTAGCTCTGGCTATTTGGTTATAGTTCTTGTAATTTGTTGTTGCTCCTGGATTGAGTCTTGGCTAGTCTTCAAGATTGAATTGCTGGTGGTTTTTCGTGGATGGTCGTGTATTCTTCAACTTCAACAGCAACTACGTCGAGACTTCAAAACCCTAAATGTTGAAATTCGGTGTTCTTCGCACTTTGCCTTGCCAAATCTCTGCTTGTCGGTGTTGCATCATATGTGTCGTCATCATATCATGTGGAATGTTCACGTTTCGCCTGCTCCGCTACTGCTCCTTCGCCTAGCCCTTGTAATACTAAAATTTTGAACTGCTTACTTCTAATGCTTCGTAATCTCACGAGTCTGGTGCTGCTGAAATCTCGTGTGTGACGTCGCTGGATGTAAGTCTTGTTGTTGTCATCTAGACGCCAATGTAGTCCCCGTCTAAACCTTAGTAACCCTAGTTTCCTAAATCTATAATCTTTGTGGAGTTTGATCGAGGAGCTTCGTATCGTTGTGTGTTTACCCAAGTCATCTCTTCCGTCGAATCCCGCTGTTCATTCCGCACGCCAAAGATGTTGACTCCTATACCACACGGCTCAAGTTTCAAGTCCGACAATTCTCAAGTAGTGTTTCCTGACAAATCGAGGGACGCTTTCGTCAGTAAAGCCTCCTATTCGCTCCGCTCGTGCTCCGCCACTCACTCAGACTCTCGATATCGCAGTTGCAATCCCTAAAATCGAATTCCTAACACTCAAATCGCTTGAAGTCCTCGATGCAACCCGGTGCCAGTAGTCAAAATGCCTTCCCACCGCCGGACCTTAGCTCCGCGTTTTACGGAAGCTCTTAGGTTAAGCCCAACTGAAGTTTCCACAATACGCTTTTTAAATTCTTCGACGAACCTTGCATACTATGTTCCTGAGTTTTAGCATTGCAAGAAGTATTTTCCTGGATATATGAAATTTTTTTTGTGGATGTTTTAATATTGTTACTAGGTGCCAACATCTCTTTATCATTAGCATGCAAAATGAGATGTGTTTTTAAGGTGTATTGCTTTACAGATCGTGTTCTACAACCTTCGGGCTGACTCTCACTCAGGTTTACCTCTGATGACTTTGCGGTAGCGCATCATGGTTCTAGAAGACTAGGATTCATCCTCTCACTCATGTCCCAAACAGCTTCTCTCACAAACTCTCCATGTATCACTCCAACTCACACATAAACTCTCCTCTCATCACTCTCTTCATACAAACGCAAACACACGTCGATACTCCAAGATACTCAAAAACTTCACTCCTTCATTACTGAAACAAGTCCTCAGACATGACTCTCCAAAACTTGCTTGAGAGGTGCTACTCTACTTCTCTATTTATACTACTTGAGAAGTTACCATAGTAACATGTGGTAATTTCTCCTAACTTACTTTTACCTAGGTAAGTTTGACTAACCCTTTCTACGTGGCAACATGTCATTGGCCTAGCTAAACCTTCTAGAAGCTTACGGAATCCAAGGTTGAGGTGGCGACATGCCATTGGAAGCTTTTAAACTTCTACAAGCTTCCTAGCCACTAAGTCAACATTAGACTTAGTCTAGCCAATCATCTTTCATACATTTAGTCAAACCAATCAAATCTAAGCTTCTAGTCAAATATCTAATCACTTGGAATCTAGAACTTTTGTATAATACAAAATAGAAGTGCTCACTCCTTGTAAAAGACAAAATAGAAATGCTCACTCCATTCTTCTAGAACTCCGCTAATTATTCCGCCAACTATTGACATTGTAGCTAAACTTAGTCATGACTAGATAAACTTAGTTTTAAATAACTAGTTTAGTCATAACTAGCTAGTCTTAGCTATGCCTTGGCTAATCATCCTTAATCACTTGACCACTTCTAAGACTTAGTACATATGTGCAACACCCAGTCTTACAGTTCCTACTTAATTTAATCAACTACTAGTTGTGAGCATCGATCAACTTCTAGATTTGACTAAAATTGATACTTGGCTTCTCGTGAGATTACCATCCTGATGATGATGACTCTTTCATAAAAATTTTGCGCTTGACTTTGATTGATATTTGATTAAAATCAACACGTTTCATGGGGATAAAAACAAGTATTATAGCTTGATGAAGGAATTACTGTTTTTGCATGAATAATAACTCTAATATGATTCGATTATGTTTTTTATTTTATATTTGGAACTTGATTTTTCTGAAACTTTGGACAAGTGATTTCAATTTTCTCATGACAAAATCACAAATCTATCAGGTTTGCTTGCACATTTTCATTACGAGTTATGTGCCTCTATATGCTTGTAGACAAAATAGTCACTTTATAAGTGTACATATTTTGGTTGACAAACTTGTTACATATATTGATATGTAAGAACATTTTGAACTTCTCAAGCGTGTCATGGCATATGTGCATAGATGTATCGAGGTATGTTCATCACTTGCAAGTGAATTTGTCGGAGGAGAAACCTCATCAACACAAATTAAATTTTGAGTACTGGGAGAAATGGATTGCTCCCATACTGTAATGAACATCATTTAAAGTCATGTGCAATTATAATTGATGCACACATGTGATTTTCTGGTTAAAAAGGTAGTATTTGCTTCGACTAGAAACTAACATTGAGTGCAATTGTTTTAAAATCATATTCATCTTCACATATGCAACAAAGTGTCAAATTTAACTGAAGAAATAAATATTGACCTCTTATGAGACAACCAGCGCTATAATTCTAGGTGTACTACTATCAAGTTAGATCTAAATTATCAATGAAATAACACATAGCCTGCTAGATCTTACATCTGAATTTCCTTTTTTGGATAAAGGCCGAAATATTTAAAATACTATGAAGTAAGAATCTCCTTTGACAAGGTATTAAACCTCTACCCCTGTAATTATGTGATGTATTTTGCTAAAGAATTATCTTCTTTTCTTCTCTTAAAAAGAAAAGAAAAGTCGAATCAAATTTCTACTTTAAAAAATCATTTTTTTAGTTCTCTTTGGTTGTTTACCGATAACAATAGCTTCGCAGGTTAGTTTAGAATTGAAACGTCAACCTATTCATGTTTCAGGTTGGTTACCTGATCAAAGATATACAGATCTTCCCACATGGGGAGATAAAGTTTACGTTTGTGGTGTAAATTCCTTATTTAATTGAACAGCGTCGACTTTAATAAGACGTCGAATATGTATATTAATTGGAGCTCCTTTTCCAATTTGTCCTGATGGAACTCGTGCATGGATCGAAAAAAATTGCTCAGTTTTTAATATTGAAACAAAAGGTTTAGAAGAAAGAGAACAGCAAGAATGGGAAAGTTATAAAATTATCTTAATTTAGTACGTGGAAAATCTGTTTTTTCTCTGGGAGATAATCCTTTAGAAAGTTCTTTAGCAAGAATTTTAGTCATATATGGTTCGATTGTTTATGAAATTGGAATTATATGGATAAAAGATATCAAGCTGCAGAATCAACTACTTTTGCAAGAAACTTGGAAAAAATGTGTATACCAATGCCTCGAATTGTTGAAAAACCTGATAATCATAATCAAACACAGCGTATGCTTGAATTACAACCAGATGTATCTCTTGCTGAAGAAATTTCCCGAATTTATTTGACTGAGGGTTACGGCGCGCCTCGAATTCGTTCCTTGTCGGACTCCTTGACCCTTTACCGAGGGGTCAAGGAGTCCGACCGATACGGTAAGATCTCTGCTGTATCTTTGTAGAAAAACAGTACCTTGCATGCTTTGAATGTTCTCTTATGCGATAAGATGATCGAGTGTACTTTTAAGTGAGGTTTCATTCGAAAATATCAGAAAATATGAAAATATCAGAACTCCACAGAGAGAAAGAAAAAATAATAAAAAATCGAAAACCGCAAGCCGCACGAGGAAGAAATGGAAATAAAATTCAATGTGTGGCGATTAATGCTCTGGAAAAAACGGAAATTAAAAAAAAAAATTTGCAATGTGCGGTGATCAATGCTCTGCAGAGTGTTGTAGTAAAAGTGGAAGGATTTCTTCGACAGATCCCCGTGAACCTCGACTCTGGACAGTCGGTCGGTCGGTCCGTGTCCAACACTGTCACCACTTCCGAACTCCGCGGTGCCGTGGGGCACATCTTCGTTCCAGGACATGGATGACGTGGATGACGCAATTTGAGGCGGTGACACTTTTCAGCTTGTGTCTCACTTTTGACGAATATTTGCAAGTCTGCCATTTCAAATAGCGACGGGAGCTGATCCCTCCTCATTTTTTCTCCGGGCTCTTTGCACGCGCGAAAACTTGAACGGGGCAAGGTTTGAACATTTTCCCACGGCTTCTTGAATTCTCCTTTGTTGCTCATTGCAGTCCTGTTTTTTCCTGTGTCAAGTGTGACTTGCCATTGTATGCGTCTCGTGAGTGGCTCTGCTGAGTGATCAGATGAGTTTATTGACAATTCTGCCGTACTCTGCCTTTTCCCTTTCAATTTTTGGGATTGGCTCTTGGCCTGGACTGGTTTTGTGGTCGATTTTTCTCCTCTGCCGTATCTTTTTTTTGGTCCCTTCATCGTCTGTCAAATCCAAAGAGAATCCTGCAAGAGTTGCTCTTGTCAAAAGTGCATGAAAAGTGCGGAACTCGCTGTCTGTTGAACAATGTCCACAAGGGCTCCGAATTTGACGTGAGAGGATCCAAGTAAGAGACAATGATCATAACCTGCATGAACGAGTTGTTTTAGCTCTGTGATCGAAACTCATTGTGCAGAGTGACCAGAACTTCATCCCAATTCAGCCCTGTAGTTATGAGGCTGCACCAATTCCTTGGAGTTTGGTCTGGTGATCACGTTTCCAAGGTTCCAGAGTGACTGATGTCTTCATCCTAGTGTTCCAGAGGCCACTTTTGCTTTAAATTTGCTTTAAATTTTCTTCCAACGTGATATTTCAAAGCCCGGAAATTTACGGAAAGTTTGAATATTGTGTTCATGTCCAAACCGTCCAGAAGTTTTTTTTTATCTCATGTCTTACGGTTTGTGGATGTGACAGACTTCTTGTTTAGTTTTAAGATCTGCTGTTTACTGCAGGGCCCTTCTGATCCGTTCCAGGGAAGAAAGAATGGCAAGCAGTATTCTGATTCCCTCGTTGCGCCCTCTTGCTATCAAATCTCGATGCTTTGCGTCGTCGACTGCTGTAGTTCCACGGTATTTTCCTCTTTTTCCTCATACTCCTTTTGTCTTTAAACAAAACTTAGTGAAATAACGTTGTCATTTACCTTGAGGCTTTCTCTCGGTGCATCTTTTATGCATCACACATTGCTCGTAAGACTAGATATCATTGGGAGGAGTGTCTTGATGTCATTTTTGTGATTTAATCAAGTTTTCCTCATTTAAGTTCTAGTCCATCTGTTGCGTTAACTGTATATCTCAGTTACTTTATTGCTGATGTTTTGATCTCGTAAAAAGCAGTTAACTGATAGTTTACTGATAAATGTTCAGGTTATCTGAAGAAGCTGTAAAGCAGTTCGAGGAGGATGGTGCCACTGTAGTACGTCAGTTTTTCTCCCCTGAATGGGTTGAGCATCTTAGAGAAGCAGCAGAACTGAATATGAAAAATCCAGGTTCAGTTCGTTGTGATCTTGATCCGTGTATATGCAAGTTTTTCGCATGATACTTTGCAGATTCATTATGCGCAAACACTATGTCCAGTTTAGCATTTCCTCCTCAGTGAGCTTTGTCTTCGAGATAGGAGCTTGTAGTTGGGGTCAAGGTTGGCTTTTATGACAACGGTTAACCTCGATCTCATATGTTTTGACCGTCTGTTTGCATTTCAACAGGCCCACTATGTGATGAACATGTGAAACCCGGGCAGGTATTATTTTCATGCAGAAGTCAATATATAGAATGCAGATTTTTATCAGTATAGAGTTGAAGATATTCATAAAGCTAGATTGAAATACTTCGGCTGTCTCCTGTGCTTCTCTGACAACTCCCTGGAATATGAGCTGGAGTAACATTCGAACATCACAGGAAAATCATTATATCTCGTTTAGATGTTAAAGAAGTCTGCAATTTGTCTGCTGTTCGGGATTGACTCATATGACTGGTTAATTCATCAGAGTATGCAGGGCCTAGCGTATTTTATGTTGCAATTTATCCGGTATTGTGTAGGTTCTTCTTGAAAGAGAACTTTTCAACGAGCAAAGATTCTATAGTTTCAATAGGCTGCTCAAAAGCAACGTGCGCGTATGCAAAGGCTTTATTCTCTTCTAAGTTGATAACTTCCTCTTATCTGGAAACCTCTCTACGCTTTCATAACCCCCTCCACATCTCCGCTGTATAATAGCTTTATAGCAGTGTGTTAAGGCAAACATCGAACTTACTGGATGATAGACTTATTTGAGGATCCGAGAGGCGCTTATTTGCCTAAGGTTGAGTTTATGTCTATCGAAGAATCAACCCCAGATAACCATTGTGGTGCTGGAGGCCCTTGTCATGCATTGCTCTTGTGATCTGTATGCTCTACTGATTTAACTCCAATGAACAGTTTGCAAACTGTGATTTTTGTTTGTGCTTTTTCATACATTCTCAGAGTCACTATCTTTCAAGAATTTCCCGTTTTAGTATGGGATATGCCAAACTTTAGACCTCACTTATAATGTATTGTTCTGCGTGAGGGCTTGTATATTTGACTTCGTCCAAAGTTGATATTCTTAAGTTCTTTTAAACACGAGTTTTCATACCCTTTGCCCCAGGTTCAGAGCTTAATCTTTGACCTGTTATGGATGTCACTTAAATTTGGAACTACTCAGTCTTGACATTTTACTTCTAATAAATGCTTCTTTCAAGTCCGAGAACTTGACCACTTAGACTCAACAATTTTTTGCATCATGGTTTCTGTCAGATAGATTCTAACTTTAAGTTACTGACGACAAACTGAAGAAAAAGACACGTCAAAACTAAGTGTTACTTCCTTGTTTCAATGTCTCAATGCAGCCAGGCCGATTTCATGACGATCAGTTTCTGTGGATAAGATCAGAGGCTATGAAAAGATTTATATTCGAGTCGCCTGCAGGAGAGCTTGCTAAGCAGCTGAGTAGGTCTTGATCTTTACTCGACCTTTTGTTAGATTTCAAAGCACATTAAATCCCTCCAAAGTTGATGTTGGAATCTTGTAAGCCACTGATCTCTATGCCCACATCTGGGCGGTTTCTCCTGCATTTCAAATATGTACATGGTTAGAAACTTGACTGGATCTAGTAAAGATCCTACAGAAGTAGCGAGCACAACACCCGTATACCCATGCAATAGTACATGGAATGACTTGTCAGTACTATGTCCATGAGGAGTCTGTTGTCACTCTTATCATTCGTGTTTCTCTACCTAGCGCGTGTTCTAGTCTAGTAAATCACTCTTGTCAACACAGACAATTTATAAGCGCGTTACGAAAGCATGTCAAGCATATCAACGCGATTCATCTATTATTCATTCTGATTCAAAACTGGAATTTTTTGTTTTGTGAACCAAAACTAAACTAAACAGAGCAAAACAGGTGCGTCTATTTTATGACCAGCTGTTTGTCAAAGAGCCAGGTACTGAGACAGCGACTCCATGGCACAATGATCATTCATACTGGCCATTGAAGGGAAACCAGGTCATCTCCTTGTGGCTTGCCTTGGATCACGTTCCAAAGTCTTGCTGTATCGAGTACGTGAAGGGCTCCCATAAGTGGGAGCTTTTGCACAAGTGAGTACTTCGATGTTTAGTGTGTCGAGGTCCGAAGTAGACAATGTCATTCCTGGGAGACATCTCAAATGTACTTCATTCGTTACGTCTTGACTTAGTGTTTGCTCTGGTCTTGCTTTTAGAGCGATGTTCGCAAACTAATGAACGTGTACAGGTTGACATCATTCTCCGGTGACCAGGATAGATACAAGGCTGCGAATGTGACTTCTGTGGCGGAAATTCCAGATATTGACAGCATGCGTGATCAGGTATCAATAGATATGATTTTCTTCCACTAGAAGTGATGAAGGTGTATTTCTATCCAGCATTCATTTCCAAACCCTAGTTTTTATACAGAGCTGTTTTATGGAATCATTACGGATTCCTTTTACATCAATTGAGTTGCTCATGAGCTTTGTGTTTGATGAGGCTGGAATAATCTATCTGCGTGTTGATGCCAGGTGGAACTATTATCTTGGGATCTCGAACCTGGAGATTGTCTCGTGCATCACAGTTTCGCCGTACATGGTGCACCAGGCATATCATCATCGGGTAATCGCCGCCGAGCATATGCAACACGCTGGGCTGGAGACGATGTACGATATGACCCACGTCCAGGTAAAGAGTTCCTATCTTGAGATGTATATTATGATGTACTACTCACATGGCAGTTGTCGTCGGATGTAGTGGACGTGAACGGTGAGTAATCTCCAAGACGGCTACTGCAATATAAGTCTTCCTTGGATTGGAATTAGCCCAGATCAGCACATAACAATAACAGCAAGCCTGTTTTTGAGAGAAAGAATGTCCAGATACAGTACTCAACCTACAGTAGAAAGATGGCATGTTTAAGAAGTCAATTTAATTGGTCAATATAAACGGTGAACTCGATGAACTCGAGCGAAACTCAGTGACATTAAACCTAAATTTATAGCTGTGAAATCTACTGCAACACTTAAACTTTAGGTTTAGTGTCACGAAGTTTCTACTTCACAGCTCAAAATGGCCAATTAAGTCCACCACGTAAACACGTCATCTAGGTTGAGGAATATCGTATCTGGAGAGTTATTATCTTCATTGAACTCTTTCTGTTATTTTTATGTGTTGATTTGGGCTAATTTGAATTTATGATTTCTTCTTCCATTATCCGGTTTGCAAGCTAGTAAAATTACTTTGTAGTTGTCAAACGCAATCAGACCTAGCGCGAAGACACTCAATTAGAACTTGACAGTTTTTCTTGCTCAAGGGTTACCTTCAGCGGTAGCGGGGCAAGTCGATTCAAGCTCATAATCTAAGCCGAATTCAGCCTTTGTTCTTCTATCAAGCATAGACAAAGTCTAAGCTAGATATTAAAAATTTAGTGATAGCACATCCCATGCGTTTTCAGAAACCCTAACAGTTCATTCTTCCGATTAGTTATTTAACGACAAACCAGATTGCTTTAGCTGCCTCTTGCATGCATGTGTTATCTCTGATTTGTGAAAATATAGTACTAATCACGATTATCTTTAGCAGATAAACTATCATTGTGTGAGCATGCCTTTAAAAATTCCATCGTTGTACCTACAGCTCATACAGAGTACTTGTTCTCGGTCTAGATATGTACATATATTTATCTACAATATGTCAAGTAGTTGCTACGTTTAGATGGTAAAGGGGCTTTCGAAGGAAATGCTGTAGACGTATGAAGGACGATGGGTAGTCCGTTGATGATGTGCCTGAGTTATATTCAGATCCAAATACTGAACCCTTGTATTTCGCCGTGTTATCTCAGGAACTATGGAATTTATGTGGAAAGAAAAAGCTGGTGTGGACGCCAAATTACCTCCTGGGTCTCCACTGGAGTCACCATTGTTTCCGACAGTGGTCTAAGGAAGTCAATATCTGTTCGGGTTGACACGGCCCGTTGACTTCAGCGGAGCGTAGAGGTATTTCATGTGATGAAAACAACTTGTTTTCGATCCAAAAGATGTAATATGGCATCATGCACTCTCCTGGTGAGTGTTGTGGTTCTCATACAAACTGTTGTGCATATGTATAGGTTTATTATGTCCAGAAATAGTACTTGCAATGGCATAGGATGCCCTCGTGAGGTAGTGTTTGTAAAGAGTTCGTCCGTAACATATTGTACTTTAACATGGAGTACCTTACACCTTGTGCAAGGTTCAGTCCCTTCTCTTATATGCCACTTTTTAGTCTATAGGACGGATTCCATGTATGTTTGTTTTCACAACTACAAGGTTATATACATACGAACTAAGTCTTCGTACTCACCACTGGTTAAAAGCTCTGGACCCATGATAATTTGGGGGAACATTTTAGGTCCAAATTACTTCATACAAATGCATATTTACACCTCATGACTCTCCACTTCACTATCAGTTTGGCGCATAGTCTTTTACAAACTGCTCAAGAGTTAGTCTTGGCACGTTATTTTCGGAAAGTGATCATGGCGACCTGTAAGATCGAACACGCAGAGAACACACGTAATTTGCGAATGAAATAGAGTTTTATTCTACAGAAAATGAAGGAATGAGTAGATGTGTATCAGTCAGCTCTTTTAAAACCTCTTGCTTCGTAGCTTGTGAAGGGGAGTAGTCATTTTGATTGGTATCTACGATGTAGGATATACAGTCAAAACTCGATATAAGGATTAGGATATTTTTTGCGGTCCTCTATAGTTTATGCGGCAAAATAAGGATACCTTGGCCGTAAGGTGTTTCACCAAAATAAGGATACCTTTCACTTGTTTAGTGATTCACGGTTCCAATTTATCGGTCTCACTTATCTTTGACCTCGTCTAAATAGGTCTAAATCCACAACAACACAACCACCAAAATGGACGACAAGAAGGCATCGCTAATTGCTGGTTCAAGTCTACATGCATCAAGAGGCAAGAAGAGCACGTCGTAGAAGAGAAAGAACTTGACACTATAAAAGAAACAAAAAGGGCACAACTACAAGCACAAATTGCGGGACTTCCTATTGTTGAAACTCTCACGCTTGATGAGTTTCTAAATTCAGATTACGAAGTAGTCGGGGCGATGACATCTTTGCTGGGGTGGTGGAACATTTCAGCTTGGATGACAAGGTCCATGATGAGATTTCCTGTATGACGAACAGAAAGACGAGGATGTATAATCACGGTGGTAGCATTAAGGTATAGAGTTAAACCTCCCAATAGTGTCAATTCTTTTGAGTGACATACTCCCATGAGTGACATGAAAGTGTGGAACCATTAGTTTCTAACGTATAAATTTGTTCAATAAGAACCGTACGTCACTATTGACAATAGTGACATGAGAAGATTCAACAATGACATGATGGAGCTTTAATGACTATCATAATTATCGAAAGTATCCATTCATATCTTCCAGATTTAGAATTCTATTTTTTTTCTATGCTTCCAGTGAGGTTGAATCATGATTGTAACTATATTATGAGAATATTGAATGCGTCAAATATTAACTGCTCTTGTTATCATCTGCTTCTTTTCTTTCACAGACGTCAAATATATGTCTAACAAGACAGGTCCCAAAAATATATTGATGTTCTGATTTTATTCTCGGAGCATAAGTTGAGGAAGTGTGCTTTGAATTTTGCTATGAAACATATCTTATCGAAATTGATATCATTTTGCATATCATTTGTACAAAGGTTGTTCCAGGGTGGCGTTAGTGCTCAATGTGATCGATACTTTGCATTGAGATATTCCGAGTCATATAAGGGACAAATTGAAAAATTCAATTTCGACTAGAATCTTGGGCTCTTCAACCAGCTCAAATTTCTGAGTCAAGGGAAAAATGGAAAATTTCAATTTTGACAATTGATATTCATGTTGATTATAACCACCATTGTAATCTAGAGAGTTTTGCAAACTTTTGCAAAATTTACCAAGCAGAATTGGTTCCTAATATTTCTTAAACGAGAAAAATTGCTTCTCGATTGAACCATGTAATTCTTTGAGTAGTAAAAATTTTCTATATACAGTAGAGTACAGAAATCTTAAAAATCTTATATAGTAGAAATTGCTGATATACATGCAAGTACAGAAATCTTATGTTTTGAAAATCTTCTCATCGTGAACATCAAATAACTGTAGTTTCACTTATCATTGTTGATGTAAGTTCAAATTCGAACCGTCAAATGATCCGCTAAATATTTAACGGATCCGCTAAACATGCAATAAGAATGTCTCCACATGATACACTAAATGTTATCCAACCTCGTGTGAGTGACACCTCCCAATTGTGACATAAAACTAAAGAACCGATGTATGTCACTATTGTGAGGTTTAACTCTGTATATAGAATAGGTCAAGCATTAGAAGTTACAGACATTTTTGCTGACGTGGTTGAACATTTCAGTTTGGATGACAAGGTCCATGATGAGATTTCCTGTGTGACGAAGAGGAAGAGGAGTATATATAATCACCATGGAAACATTAAGGTATTTAGAGAAGGTCAAGTTTTGGACAAACATTTTTGCTGCCGTGGTTGAACATTTAAGTTTGGGTGACAAGGTCCATGATGAGATTTCCTGTGACGAAGAGGAGGATGTATAATTACAGTGGATACATTAAGGTGTATAGAGAAGGTCAAGCTTTGAAAGTTACATAAGGGGAACGAGGTCGAGATGGATTGTTATAAGACTTCTATAGCTATTCAGACTATTCTAGATAGCTTTTCACGTCTAATTAGGCCGTCTTTAATTAAAAGATACTTGGACATATCCTTACAATCTCACGGTAGCGATCGTATCTTTATATCTAGTTTTACTGTAAACCAATTGTAATTGCCATTGAAGATTGAACGAATTGTCAAATGTTTAACTACTACATGAGTAATTGGGCTCTTGCTTAAACACAATTTTGAAGATTATAAAGGACATTATCATGGAATAAGAATATATTGTGAATAAGAATTGAGTTTGATTAACCTATTGAAGCTAGTGTTAAATTAATTTTAAAAAAATTTCAAGTTTTCGAAGATTGAGATTTACTAACTTTTATCATAAGGTAAGCTAACTTATAGTAACAAGTTTTCCGGCCATGGGAACTAAACAAACCTTTGAACTCTGCATTGGATTCTTTATCCAGATTATGCTTCTCATTTGAATGTATATATACGAATCTCGATAAGTAAACAAAACGCTTAAAATTTCTTGTCTATCTCAACTTTCAACTTAGAGGAAAGAAAACAATAACTATTTGACTTGTTAGTGGACATAAATACAAAACGACGAAATCCACGTTGGAGAGTTTCAATGATTCATAGAGTGGACAATTTTGTAATACATCACAAAACGTTTTGCCTATTAGTCAACATCAAGGATGAATTAATACTATCTAATGTCAGATTTTGTCCCGTTTATTTTGAAGGTTTCAAGTGTACTAAATGATGTTTTCAAACAATCTAGAATCTCGTTATATGTCACGAGGATGCATTTCATGAGTTCAAAATCTCAGTATAAAATTGAGTAGAAATTTCATATCTTTAAGAATGATCGCAATAAATTACCATAAAATATAATTTTTAAAATCTTTCAATTTACAAAGTACTTATGGAAAATGTTTACAATTCTATTTCTGTGAAATCTCAATATAGATACGTTTAGATTCATATAAGCTTATCATATTTTCATGCAACTATGAGTATATTTGGGTTCATTTATACATGCATATTTTTATCAATATCACATTTGAAAAAAGGTAACGGCTAGTTTATGCTATCTCCCTCCCTCTAAAAATTATATGAATTGCTAAAGAAGGAATGTATATGATTGATCAAGGGATCTCATTTTTATATAAACAAGCTCGTTCCACCGCTAGAGTATCACGCAACATTGAACAATGCACTATTGGCACTGCAAGCTTATGCGTTGAATCAGGGCTACGCCGTCGATGCGCTATTGGCAATGCAAGATTATGTGTTGAATCAGTGCTACGTCGTCATGATTAAGCGTAGACGCATGATTGATAACAAGAAAGATAGAATTATCAACCTTGTGTATTACCATTAGAACAAACTGGTTGTCCTAATTCTACAATTAAGACGAGGGATAATTAACATAAATTGAGTAATAACAGCCGCTCCCTTTAAGTATAGATGTGTATAAAACATCACATATCATTGATAATAAAATAGTGTAAACGTATAACCTGATAATCGTTAGTGACAACTTCAGTCAAGCCAACAACACAAGAGTCATTAGCGTATAAGGTGGTTCATTCACAAGAGCTACGTCCACATAGTGATAGTATATTGAACATTTTGTCTGATAATACACAAATCCTGGATATATATACCTTACACTGATGATCCATCTAGCTATAAATAGCTAGACTATGATGTTACTATTTAATAAGAATTAATTTCAACAATCTCCTCTTTAACTTCTGTTAAGGAAACAATATCCTTTATACCTATATTATTACTCCGCGGGAAGTTCCTGACGGAAACTTAACACAAGATTCCTCTTTACACGAGAATTAACTAGAACAAAGACGTACTTATAACAAGATAGAGTACTAACTAAAAATCTGCTAGAATAGAGATAACAGAAACTTCAAAACTTATATAATTACTATGCGGAAAGTTCTAGAAAGATACCTAATATATGGTAACTCTTTAAACAAGAGTTAATTAAAACTAAACGGTAAGCATCACATGCACAACTTGCATAGTAACACAATGTGATCGGAAACTTTCCAAAGTAAAATTTTTGGTCAACATATCAACTAGATTGAATTTATCGACAATCTACATTAGCTTAATCACCAAAGTTTACTGTTAATCTTGACTAGCTCAATCACGTGTTTAAGATTTTCAAGAATGAGCACTAGTTATACTTCTTGATCATATACGTGAGTGGATATTTTTCCCTTGTCAATATAGAGAAGCTGCTCTCCGCAGCTGAAGTGTAAATGAGAAACACCATATCAAAATCTAGTTCAAAATCCGAATCTAAAGCCAGTTCTAATATCAATTGTAAACTTAAAACCTGATAATTAACATTTTCACACTCAATCAAGCCAACAACACGAGATACACTAGCGTATAGCCTAGTTTATCCTCAAAGATTACGTCCACGAGGTAAGAGCATCATGATAATATACTGAACGTTTCTCTTTGGTAATACACAGATCATATATATATATATATATATATATATCATATAGCAACCTAGCTATAAATAGCTAGAGCAGTATGTTACTATTTATTGAGAGTTAAACCTCAACAAATTGATGAACACAATAATTTATAGGTTTTTGACAAAAGTTTCTATGATTATAGAACATTCGTCTTGTAGTTTTATTTCTCTTCATGTTTAGTCATGTAAACTTACGTATAACGAATCAAGCACGCAAAGTATAACCTTAATCATAAAAAAATACTCGAAAGCATATCATGTATCAAATGTTTTTGCATTACAAATATATATTCAATGAATGATCCAATCGTAGATGATTAGATATATGTACATGATCCAAAACTTAAATCCAAAATTTTTGTAGTATATTAAAATTATTAAGCATGAAGAATCCGCAAAATTAATTTTTTTCTTAGAAAATGGATTATACTGAATTTTCTATTGAAATGATATCGATTTGGAAACTTACTTCAAAGTTCTTCACAAATCTTTCAGCTACTCCTTTTAAAAGTAGATAGGTATATTGCAAAATTTACAATTACATAATCAGCCTAAATAATCTTTGAAAACTTGAATAAATAAAGTCATTTTTTCAAAAAATAACATGATTTTATATAAATAAATTTCATAGGGTGGCCACATTATTTGTAATTTTAATTTGCACATTATTCATCAGCACACAACTTAAGTGAACATCAGTTTCGTGATTTATTGTATCTTTCACAACTAACAAAAGAGATTTTCTCTCGTTTTATTTCACACCATAAACCTTCGTAACACATTGTGCTTCCGCATTTTCATTTTTAGCCATCACCATACGCTATATATATGGCACCTGCATTCTACATTCTTATTTCAACGTGACTGTTAAATCAAACGGGGTATGGGAAAATACGAGGCGCGGCATTCGCTTGAAATAGGCTCAAGGTATCGTGATCCGAGTTTCCCCGAAACAGGGGCAAAACTGGTCGGGTCAAGAGGAGGCCGACTCCCCGACGGGAAGGGGGAGCAGGTGTCCCGGCCCCGGAACCCGGGTGCCTTCGCAGGCCGGAGAGTGTGCCCGGAACCGGGGCTGCCCGACCGACCGCCAGGCGACGGGGAGGTCCTAGGAAAGGAAAGCCAGCGGTCTGATTTTACTTAATATACTCGGTCGCCATCGCTGTACGTACGTACACCCTCGCTCGCTCTGGCGCGGTCGGCTGCCTCCTCTCCTCTCCTCTCCTCTCCTCGTCCGCCTCCACCTCCCTCGCCCGCCCTCCGTCTTGTCACCCGTTGTCACCCGTTGCTGCCTCTGCCGCTGCCGCAGCGTCTCTGCGTGCGTTTGTTTGTGCTGGTGTGCGTGCAGTCAGGGTCCACTGCTGCTGCTGCTGCTGTCGTCGTCGTCGAGGAGGCACACTTCGGCTTCTCATTCCTGGGAGTGTGATCGTAGACTCGTTTGCAGTGATCGCCGGGAGCTGAGCTAGATAGAGGCCGCAGCACGAGAGCGCGGGGCAATTAGGCAGTCGGAGTTGGGTGCTGTGGGAGGGAGGGAGAGGGAGAGGGAGACGGGCTGCTGCTTTGTGCGATGTGTCGTTGTTCCTGCGTTGCTGCCCACATCTTTGTTGTAGCCGCTTGTGCTTGCACCGCCGCTTTCGATCGTCGTCATTCTCATCGCTACCTGCACCTCCATCATCAGCATCAGCAGACGGCATGGACGATCAGGTGAAAGGACCGCAGGTGCCTGTCTACGGAGGAATTCGTGCTCCTCCTCCTGTGGATGTGCCGGGTGCGGCCCACCTTGCATCTCTGTTTCCCGTCGAGCAGATGGTCACTTCGCTCGCTCCATTGGGACTGTCGCCCGAGCAGGTCAGTTCGCACGCTCTCGCTCCGCAACTTCTTTCTCGAGGTTTCTGCGTTAGAGAGCTGCACAAATTTGCAATTTTGTGGCCTGATTGTTGTGGGTGGTGGGTCGCCGCGCCTTGATTGTCATTTCAGACTGCAGGAGTGATCAATTGTATGAACGAGGCCGGGCGTCGGTGGACCATGTCGTTCTTGGAAGCCAAAATTAAGCAACTGCATTCAGACATGGGGCAGTTCGTGCATTCGTGTGTACAGCAGGTGACAGCTGAGGAGATCCATAAGTTCGGAGGCTATGCACGTCAGTGTGTCGAGTATCTACAGTACAGGTGCAGACAGCTCGAGGAGGCGAAGTGCCTTGCGAAGGATTCCTCGATGCAACTCATGATGAACCTGAGCGGCCAGGTATGTCAGACTTTCCTACCGCTTTATACAAGAGGGTAACGGAGAGGTGCCGAACGAGAATAGTTTAACCATATCGACGAAATTATGAATCAGAATGCCTGCATGGATTGTGTCGTCTTGAACGAAATGTCTATTGCACGTCGGTCTTAGCACCTTCACAATCTATTTGCGAAGGAATAATGTCAGAATTCGGAGTGAGTCTTCTTAAAGCTCCGCTTGACATTGCTATACTCAAGTGGAGATGGCAGATTCAGGATGTGCTGTCTCTCCAGTAGGCCTGAGTATTTGGCCTCTGCCTAGGCAAGCCCTGTTTGAGACGGGCTCAACGCAGGACAGTACTGGTCCCAGCAGAATTTGGTTTGCGAGAAATTGACTGTCGCCTTATGTACGATACACCTCAAGGTATCGGTTTTCGAGGAATAACTTAGGGGGTTTCTTTGCTCGGAAGCATGACTGATAGTCAAGTTCTCCATTACCTCAAAATTCGAAAGGAGTTGGGGAATTCTCGCATCATGCCTTGTTCATATACTGATCAACTGCTCTACATTTTTAGAGCGACATTCATAGCGACATCTTACCATGACTTCGAATTGGAGCACAGACGACCAGCGGTGTCCTCCATTTCTTTTCAGCTCAAAGTCAAATTTCAAAGCTACTACCTTTTTTGAGCAACATTTTCTGTAATGAACCATTGTTTTATTTTGTTGGATCCCATTTGCATTGTCTAAAAAAACTCATATTTTGAACAAGATCTTGTCATTTTCAACGAAGATTTATGCATTTCGTCTCTCTATCCCTAGTCACTGCTTCTTCTTCCATGTCTTTTGTACTCATCACTACTCAGCTGGTACGAAGGAGCTTTCATCTCTTGACAGGCAGATGTTTTGAGGAGTGACTGCCATGGGTATATGTTTTCTTGAAGGTGTTTTGTCGTCATGCGTATCTCTTTCTTCTCTTGCTTCGTTGTATTACATGGAGTTTAGCTCAGCTTTCATATCAATCATTCTCGGTATGAAAACCCTGTTCATGATATTGACACGTACGAATTGTGAATGATCCGCAGATAAGGACATTAGAATTTGAGAAGAAGAGTCTGGAAGAAGATCTGGAGATGGCAAGGAGGCGATTGCTCTCTTCACCAGAACCCCTTAAAAGAGGCTCTTCGAAGAGGAAGGGAGATCAGTTGTATGAGCTCCCTCAGAGGCAGACGTCAAGAAAAGTTGTTCCATCCAAGTCCTGCGGGACCGTGAAGCACCAACGACAGAAATTAAATCTAAAAAATACAGGGATTCCTATTTCGATTCCAGATTTCCAGTTTCTGAAGCTGCCATGTGCAGCTGAACATCTGAATTTCACCCACGTGGGAATTACTGATGTTGACATGAAAGATGCCGATGTAAACGAACAGGATGCAGAGACTAGTTTACCGTCTGTTGATGAGGGAAAGACGCTTGAGGAGGAATCTGCTAATGAGGCAGTCAAAGGGGCTCATTCAAGTCGGGCTGGTTTAGCGAACAAGGTGGAAGATGTCGTTGGTGGATCGAACAATGTCGAGCAGCTGGAATCAAGTGTTATTCCAGACCCTTCTGAGCAAGGGGAAAATGAGAAGACGAAAAGCTCTTCAGGTGAGAAGTCATCTTTGACGGGCGAGAACGAAAAGGCTAAAAGTTCAGATGAGGAAAAGTCATCCTTGACGTCCGGTCCTCATCATATTGGAGAGCAGAGTTTGCTCCTAGCGGGCTCACATCTCGTTGAAGACAGTCATTCGGGTGCCAACGATGCGCACGATGGGGACATCCAGACTTCTCCTGTCTCCGAAAAGCCCTCGCATGAGCAGGACCCTCCCAAAAGATTGAGGAAAACTACGTCAGATGGGCTCGACAGTTCCTTTTCAACTTCAAAACAGGGCACTGAAGAAGGTGATCATGTCCAGTCCGTATTTTCTGATGAAGCTGACAAGGCAGACACAACAGCAGCGTTGTCTTTGTGTAAGTTGATAACCACAGTGGTTGATTCGGAGCCGGTGAAGGAGTCTGATGACTGTTGTCCACGCAAGGATGCTCCTATCATGTCACCTACGAATCATACCGGCAGCAATTTCCCACAGGATAACTCTCATCAGCAAGAGGCTAAGAAGAAAAAGAAGTCCAGTTGTCGTTCAAAGTGTGATCCTTCAGGAAGTTCGAGTGGAATGGATCATGGAATTCAAAGAACACCTGATCTACTTCAGCCTGGTGCAGCAGCTGCTAACAGTAATGTACATGATCACAAGTCCCTCATCCAAGGGTCCCTGGTAGCGTCAGGATTCGACACGTACTCCTCACGCGATCAGAGACGCGTCGTGCAGGTGGCTCGTCAGGTCTGTTCTAATCACCTCCAGATTATACCAACAATTAGATCTCAAAGTAATGATGTATGAAGACTTTATAAAACGATTGCCAATTTCAATAATTCTTCCATACGTGCCTTCTTTCTGATCATTGTCTTTCTCGCCTTTGTTCGGTCTTAACTTGATCTCGAATTTATTCATGCCACTTTGGCCGTAGAAGCATTGTCGTTGAGCACCTCTATCCTCAGCTCCAAATATCGGTGTATATCACCATAATATATATGCAGATTCTGCTTATGTTACCAAGCTTATGATATTTCTTGTGCATCGTTCAGTTTTCTTTTGAACTATACTCATAACCCCTTTGTTGGGTATGCATTTACCCTTGTCCGAACATATACCGTGAGACTATTCTTCTGAGTCATTTTGTTACAATTTCCAGACGTAGCTTATTACAAAGATCTCATTCTTTCATCGTGTGGGTTTTGGTGCAGCTGTTGTCGTTCAGGAGGTGAGGATACTTCGGTGAGATGCCGCCGAGAATAGACCGATATTGAGGCATCAACAGTTTTGTCGATAGATACATAATAAGACCATCATTCAGAGTAAAAACTTTGGCTGATCAAGTTGTTTCCTTCACGACCAACTTAGGCATAAGATCCATAATTCCCTTTCACATACTTCATTCAGCGTTCAGATTTCGGTTTGATCCATGTCCTCACCTTTTTTTAGAAGCCCGTAGTATTCTCGGACATCCACATCAGTTCTTCATTCCGCCGTTTATACTTGTAGATTTTGTTAAAAGGGCGCTGAGTACCCTTCTGATGTGAATATTGGTATCCATAGCAGAAGTTTCCTCAACTAGCATGTCAACAAATCTATCCTGTCTGTACATAGTCGATCATTTCAGCTTATATGCTTAAGATTGAAGATTTTCAAGGACCTGCGCATATGTCCTGGAGCTGAAGACCATTTCCCTTGCAGTACGCTACCCAGATGAAACAGCATAGAGTGAATTACAGTCCGCTTAGTATAGAACTGTGCTGCTTTGGAAGATGACCAGTTTTAGTACCTACCCTTACATCTCTAATGATGCAATTTTACAGTGCATACGAATGTAACATGTGGGTCCAAGGGAGTTCATCTTCCCGTTTTATCAATTAGATCAACTTACTGCTGAACCATGGTTTGCCTCGATTCATACATGTGTATCTTCTGTGCTTTCAATATTCAGGTAAAGGCGAACCGTTCTCAGAAATCGTTGCTGTTCTCAAAAGTTAGAAGTACAACATCATGCAGGCTGGAGCAGTATTGAAAGGATTTTAGGAGTTGTGAGTCGATGCAATTACAGCTTTATGAAAGAACATATACAGGGAGGGAGATCACGAATCAGACCTCTCCCTTGCCATGCTGGACCTTGACCAGCATTCATCCAGCACTAATAATCTGCAGGCTTGTGTTCATGTGCATATGTAGGCCAACGTCACGGTTCCTATACGACATAGGGGACGATATGTGTAAAGCATTGCTTCTATTTGTAGAAATCACTCATCCTAATACTGTTTCATCGTAATGAGAATCTTCTTGTGATGGATGGTGTGTTGGTGGATTTTAAGTTTCTGCCGAATCCACTTGTTTTGATCCAAACCCATCATTCTTGGGTCACGTAAATGAGGATTCTACACCAAGAAAGATAAGTTAGGAGCGTTTTGGTCGTTACCGAAAATCGTTCCTACGTAAGATGTGAAATCCTCACGCCTGTGTCTCTCACATCTTTGTTATACACCTCGTTGATCTCGTCGAAGCAGACCAGTATTTTCTTGATACTGGAGTCGCAGGTTCTCGACTCATACGTTCACACATTTTTCTTCTCCATCTCTGTTCTACTTCTCCTCAATCTCGTCCAATCAGATCCGTTTTTTGTAAACCGTAAAGTCGCCTGTTCTCAGTTTAGCACGTTTTTTTCTTCAACCTTTCTAATATTACACAAGACGTATATACTGTGGTAAAACCTTAAAATAAGTAACCTACGTAGTCCGATGTACATTGTTCAACTCTACATTACCAGCATTCCGCAGATACAACATAATGTTTTGTCCAAAACAACACATTAAATGCACTTCGATGAGAATGTTTTAGTTATATATAAGGAGAACTTTACAAACATCAGACTTTTCAAAAAGTCTGACACCATGTCTAGCTGTACACTTCGTTATCTCAAAACTCCTCACTCGAAGGAGACTATGAAGGTTCTGATTTCCATAGGACCAAGTTCCACCAAAACTTCGTGCTTCTTATGGTGATGTCCACGTAGTGGAACAGTTGAGCTTATATTCCCTTCGACGTTCCATTGCAATGGATTCACATCGGATTTCTTCTGGTTTGCTGTAAGAGTCACTTCTTCGATCTTGTCAATCTGTTTCCATGACAACGATGTTCTCAGTTTGTGATCAATTGAAAAGAGTTTGACTTGAGTGACATGAAGAATTTTTGGATCGATACGAAATGTAGTTCACTTACCCGTTTTTTTCCAAACAATGCCTGAGTGTCCACATTTGCAACTGCAGAAAGGATATCATCTTCCCCAATCTGAAGAAGAGAAGATGAAAATTTATTAGTTCTGTTCATGGAAACAGGTTTCTAACAAATAAAATAACCCGTGAACAAACCTAAGGGGGTCATGCATAAGGAGCCTGAAGATCTCAGATTGGGAAGGTACATTAAATTTTATGCGCATCGAGTTCGTCGTTCGATAAACGATGAACCCGATTCACATATTTCTAGTAGTGATGAGATCCTGATTAAATGTAAACCACGCCTCATACCACACCATTGTACCATATGCACAGATCTCAAGATGACAAGAAAGAGGTTACTGTTCAAAAAAGATATGAGGCACAATTACAAATGTTGAGTGATATACCTCGTAAAGATGGGCAAGGCGGAATAACACATCCCCTTCTTCTAACTCCTGTTAGATGGATCATCAAAGAGACCCCATTTAGATTAAAGAAGCTTACGAAGCAAAAAAAACAAACTCGTATGCCTGGTGATGTCTGTACAACCAGTTACATACCTGTAGAGTCAGAAGGGCTACGTTCGGTGGGAGGGAGTAGTCACTAGCCAGGAGAGAGAAGTTGAGAGCAGGCCCTACATTTGCTTCGCTGCTCTGTTTAACAACAACACACAACGATCAGTTTCCTAGAAGGCGTACAACCAGTTACTGTATTTGGGACTCACCACAAAGTCAGGGTCTTTGTTGGCGGAAAAAATTAACCCAGCAATTTACCTCGAGAACCGTGAAAGCAAGTTGTACGGGGAAGAGTAATTCTTGTCCATATGATCTCCGCCATTTTGGTGCTTCGGTCTTTGAACTTGCATGTAAGTAGTAGGTTCCTTGCACCTGTTCCAGTCTCAGGTTGAACAGCGAATACGAGTTTAGCTACGTACTGACGTGTTGAAATGACTGTCAGCCCTTAGGAGAATAGTGGAACTCTCTAAAAAAAGTACTGAGAGAATACAACACTTTGAATGAAAAGGTAAGTTCAGTACAGACGTCTTTCTGCAGAATGTTGAGAGCTTCGAAGACAAAAATTTGTTTTTAGTGGTTTGGAAAATTGGAAGTTATGAGAGAGTGATACAAGATCGACTTTTGTAGATAATACCAGTGCTTTTGCATCTACGGGCAGATGAAAGTTTCAAAATGATCTTAAATAGTCCTTTCAGCGCACAGATGTATAGATCTAGCACTGTTGACCTGCAAACTGGATGTAAATGAAAGTTTATAACATATGGGAAACTTATGAAGAGTGAGCTAACATACCGTCAAACCTTCACATGTTTCAGGATCACCTGTGCATACAACCTCGTTGAGAACATCGCCTACTCCTCTGCCATCATCACGTAGCATCCGCCTGCATCACGCCTCACTTGATATGAGTGCTTCAATTGCCTACAGTCAGCTAAAAATACTGAAAGTAGATTGTTCGAGTCAAACCGTTGGAAATTACGGGTGGTCTTATCATACATCTCATAAGGAATGCAAAACTTCCAGACGAAAATGAATGCAACCAAAAGAAAGAAAAAAATGCGCTAGACATTTATAATATACGTGAGGTGCAGTCGTTTTGAATAAAATGGGGGACTTCTGATACATACCTGTGCAGCATGATCTCCAACTCTCCATCTCGTATACTTCCGCCTCCGAGGGCTCGATCCACCAGAACGGAGAATTCAGTTTCATTGTCCGCGAGATAGATGCCCAGATTTAGCTGTAAACAGTAACAAGTATTTACACCAACAACAACAAAAAAATGAATTTGGAAGATAAAACAAGTACCACTTTTCGTGAAGATTATCCCTGTCCAGCAGAGATATCATGCAGGTCCAGGATCAACGCTCAGATATGGATGTTTAGATAAACAAATGATATATACCATGAGCAACGGTGCAGATGACAAGAAAAGAGAACTTTGAGTTCTGAAGCCTGGGGACTGATTACCGGTACTAGGCCTGTAACTTACCGGATAGTAGTTACCTGCCACTTCCTCAGTGACATTCAACGTCCAGTCTGATCTATAGTTACGAACCTGCATGCATCAGCACTTACTTAGACCTTTCTAGAATTCAGGACTCTATCAAATATTTTCTCTGGTTACATTATCGATTGGTTCAGGTAGTTAGACATAATCGTACAAACTTAGGAGACGAGATCCAAAACAAAGGACAAAGTTGTTATCTCATTGGATATTCAAAGGTTTCAACAAAAAAGACATCTCAAAAAACTTACTCGCTTAAGAAAATCACGTCCATTGGAATCTGTATAAAACTCTCCATTACTTTCAAGATTTGTTGAAACTTTGGTAACAACCTCCTTTCCGAGGCCATCTTCGACAGGGATCGGTCCAACCTGCATCACACATAATTACAGAATTTGTTCAGGGCTATAAAGACAGAAGTTTCGTCTCATCTGAAACTTCAATTAAAGTTCCATACTGACGATCTAAACTTGTAGCGCTTTTCATTTCTACCGTACCGTGAATTCGATCTCAGCGTGGTCTGCATTGCTGTAAAGCCTGACCACCTGCACGCACATACAAAGGTGGTAAATGTGAAAAATGACTCCGGACTGAACATGCACATCAACAGATAAAATTAGCCTAAACTTTAGGCTAATTTTATAAAAGAAAATAAATAAAATTTTATATGCTAAAGAAAATAAACTTGCTTTAGTCGGAGGACATACATTCAAATCATACAATAAGTACACATATCATACAATAATACACATATAAAATTCAAAATCCTGGTTCATCGTGCACCAACCTGACTTATCCAGGGAGAAAAGGTTTGGTGGACTTCTTCTACTAACGGTCCTCGTATTACTGTTAACTGGACCTGTGATCAGAAATACAAATTCTGGTCTTTAACACATTGCAAAAGAAATTCACACTGATAATGAAAAAGATAAGACATGGCAAGACCAAAGAGAAGGATTGCAAGCCTGAATTCAAATAGTTTTACAACGTGAACATTACTGTGTCATCAGGAGTTCCAAGAGGAAAACATTCTGAACTGTTTGGTCGGAAAATATAAGCTCCAGATGCCTGCAAAACAGCGCAACTCATTTCAGTACAGCCAACAACATCTGCGCGGCGCCCCGTAGGACAAATCCCTTGAACTCAATGCAAATAAAGTTATGATACAAATACTTCACGAAGACACTCACCTGACCCTGGCTCTCAAATGCATTACCAACGCTGGCGTTGTACCAGCAGTATGACTGCTCAACGTCAGCTATAACCTGCAAGGTTGACAGCTGGCATACTTCATTGTCTAGTAAAAGTGATTATTGCAGAGATGAACTTTTAAGATCAACTCGAAAGGAGATCATAAAATTGACAACTCAAACAACTAACGCAAAAAATCATACGAGATGATGTGACTAATGACCACTTCAACATCTCCACAAACTAGTTCATTGTACGATAGACTTACACCCGTCTTCACGTCCTTCATCTTTTCAATTCTCCCTGTTTGAAGAGAAATCTGAATATGTGCACCGCTTGACTTAAGCTTAACATGACCGGCTCTCTCATTGTTTTGTTCTACAGAAGCGTGCTCTGCAGATTCTGCACGATTCAGTGGAACCGGTGATTCATTTATGCATTTGGTGTGACGTTCCGTTACATCCACATTCAATAGATATATTACGCAGAACACAGAAGCGATTACGTGATAACTGAGCTCAATCCATTCACTGAGCTTAGAAGAAAGAAACTTACGTGGAGAGCCTGGTACGGATGCTCTAATATGAAAAGTTCGATACCCAACAGGAGGAACAGAAGCTTGAAACACTAGATAGGAAAGATCTCCTTTTCCTGCATGGACACCTTCATGTGCCATGACGTACTTCTCGCGAAGACCTTTCGCAATTTTGCTCAAGGGAACCAGTTGAGAGGGTATGGCTTGACCGTCAGAGTCTGTTACTGTAAGTGCCGAATTTGTTACCTGCATGAGACACATATCGACGACCGCCCCGTCAGCGACCATTGAAATTCATGGCAGACATAAGCTTCTACTATGAGGGCGATTTGGTTGACATTTTTCTCTATTTGATGAGACCTTTCCAAAACACGAAATACCCTTTGTAGGGCAGAAACCAGTATTAAGCATCAACAGGTGCGGTTATGATAGATACAGGGAGACACTTTTAAGTGCACAGGAAATCTCACAACAGATCAATGATTGGAAAAAGAACGAAAACGTTGCCTAAATTTAGTAGCGTGGAACGTTAGTTGACTTGATTTTCTTAACAGTTCTGAGTTAAGAGAACCAAGTCAACTAAAGTTGGAGGATAGTGCCAAGACTGAACCTGCTAGGATACGCTGAAATGGACAAGTTTCTTACCGGGATCCTTATCATCTCATCTCGTGGCCAACCAAGAGGATTATACGCAACCACTACCTGATTGAAGTCATCAAAGAACAATTTATCAAATGAGCACATCCTGGATGAAAATATTAGAAGATTTATACTGAGATTTACACTGGATTTTTTCTTCAGCAGGAAATGGTCGGAAAGACGCAGTGCGTTGATACTTACCAAGGTTTTTCCACCTGAAAGATCAACTTCAGTAGGTGGGCAGTAGCTGACGTTGAGAAGGAAGCACTGCATGAAGATTAAACATAATACAATTAAATATGGACCCTAAAACGCTGGTGAAACTAGTAAGGAGAAAGATAAGAACAGACATCTCTGAAGGCAGAAATTGACTCTCGTCAAGGTCACTAGAATCTATCATAACAAACTTGGTTCAGTATCTTACCAGTTCGAATTTCAGGCTTTCATTTGAAACTTCCTCACTCGAAGGCATCTGAATTACGTATTTTGGATCTTTAAGCAATTTCTTTGCAGTGACTTTTTCCTTCTTCTTCGTATCGGGTTTGGGCACGTTCCCACTAATTAAGCGGTTGAGAGCTGTGCTGATAACTTCTGCTGCCTGTCATCACACACCAGAAATGTTTACTATGATATGTATTTGATCACAGCAGCTCAACAGTCGACATGTACGTTTCTTATGAACAAAGCAGGCTTCCATTGCAGTCGTCACCGATATGCGAGGTTGCTACAAGTGTATCATTAGAGCAGATTCAGACGAAGGATGCTGGATTGATAGGAACGGACAAACGCAAATGTTAGAAGTCGAATTACTACCCACTTCTTGGACCTCCGTACACTCACGTTCTTTGCTGTATGTACTTTGTACTATAGTCGGGGTCGTGACAGATTGTCACGACCAGCCGCTGTCCACTAGGGTTTCTGTATCTCTCGGACTGTCACGGTTGGGTATATATTCCCCATCCGGGTTCTCTCCCCATTAACTAAGATCTGCTCTCCAGTACTCAGTATCTGTGTCTCTCGACTCTTTCTTGTATTGCCTCACTTCTGTTATGGTATCAGAGCGTTAGGGTTTAGAGTTCAGAGTTCGAAGATTTGTTCTTTGAAGATTCACTTCGGCAGAACGTGAAGCTCAGCACAGAGTATAGTTCGAGTTCAGGGAGATGACTTCTCCTGGGGTTTCAACAAGTTCGCATGGAAAGAGCTCCCCCTCCCCAAATTCAGTGGGGAACATTTCCATGCATGGAAGGGGAAAATTAGTTTAATCCTTCAACTGGAAGGACTGATGGACATCATGGAAGGGGTCGAAGTCAGGCCAAGCACTCCACCGGGGTCTACAACAAGAACTCCAGAGTCAGGCGCTGGCAGTAAACAAGAATGGGATGTCAAAAATCTCATGGCCTTGGCGGTGTTAAGTAACTCGTTGGAAGACCATCAACATCCATTGATCGCACGTCATTCTACAGCTGCAGAGGCCTGGGCAGAACTGAATGCATTTTTTGAATCCCATGATGTACCAATGCAGATGCACTTGAGAGATTCATTGCATTCTCTCAAGATGAAGTCAGGCGAGTCTGTAGCGAAACATATCTCAAAGTTTCGTCTACTTCTTCACCAGTTGTCATCTATAGGGCAGAACGTTCCAGAGGCAGAAGCTTACACCTGTCTCCTTCGAAGTCTACCCATTGAGTATAGATCCTTTGTGCGCTCCATGAGGACACAGCAAAATTTGACCACCCAATCTGTTATTGCTGGTTTTCTTCTTGAGGAATCACACCTTCAAGAAGAGGAAGAGTTGACAGAAGGTATGGCAGCACTCTACACAGCAAAGAAACGAGGAGGGGCGCCAAAGATGATGCATCCAAGACACTTCACTGAGTCAGGTCCTTCATCGCGACCAGAACCTCCTGCCAAGACATCTTTTCCCAGGCAAAAGATGAAATGTTTCTACTGCAAGAAGAAAGGTCATCTTGCCAGCGAGTGCAGGAAGAAGAAACACGACAATGCTTCTTCACATTCTACACCAAACGAACACCAACGGCTGTATGTCACTGCTCTAACATCCATTGGGATGGATCCAGCCTGGTATGTAGATTCTGGTGCAACTCAACACATGGCATACAACAGAAATGCTTTTGTGACATATACTGAACTTCCATCGAAGGAGTTTGTATATCTGGGCGATGATAGTCGCCAACTCATTCAGGGAAAAGGTAATGTCCTCATTTCTTTGAATGATGGACAAGAACGGCTAATACCTGAAGTGTTACACGTTCCTGGTCTCCACAAGAATCTCTTTTCCATTCATCAGCTTGTTCAGCAAGGAGGGAGTCTACTCATTGAACCAGATCGATGCATCTTGAAGGGGAAGAAAGGTAACGTCATTGCTGAATGCATCAATGACAACAACCTGTTTAGGCTTGAAACTACTTCTTTCAAGACACCTGCAGTTCCTGCAGAGGTTTGTTATTCGGCTTCCAACACCGAAGAGCTGGACACCTACCAATGGCATCTCAAGTTCGGCCATATGAGTCTTCCGCGAATTCAGCAAATGAAGCAGCATCACATGGTAGAAGGGTTGGAGAAATGTTCCTTTCGGACTCTCCCTTTCTGCACATCATGTGCTCTAGGGAAGTCCACAAGAGCAAAGTTCCCAAGAAAAGGAGCCCCTCGTGCTAAAGACCTTCTTGGTCTAGTACACACGGATATTTGTGGCCCTCTGAGAACTCAAACATTCTCGAACTGTAAGTACTTCATCACATTCATCGATGATGTTTCACGATATACGCATGTATATTTGATAAAACAGAAGTCTGAAGCCTTTGCCAAGTTTCAGGAATTCAAAGCAATGGCTGAAAATTACCTGAACAAGCGCATCAAGGTTCTGCGATCAGATAATGCTCTTGAATACAAATCTCGAGCTTTTACTGATTTTTGTACACTTCACGGCATACAACGACAGTTTTCCATTCCTGATACTCCTGAACAAAACGGAGTAGCAGAACGGAAGAATCGAACTTTGATCGATTCTGTTGTTGCCCTGTTGACACATTCTGGTCTCTCTCATGGCTATTGGGGAGAAGCCATCCATACAGCCGTTTACTTGCAGAACAGATCTCCATCGAAGGCTCTACCCACCACCAAAACCCCTTACGAACTTTGGCATGGGCAGAAGCCGGATCTGCGGAATCTACAAGTTTTCGGATGTACTGCCTTTGCTCATATTGAGAAAGGCCATCGGGGTAAGATAGACCCCAAGAGTGTAGAATGTGTTTTCCTTGGCTACTCTACTACAGCCAAAGGATATCGCGTACAGAGAAAGGACTCTCACAAGATTCTTGAAAGCAGATCCGTCAGATTTATGCCTCTTGCAGTTCGGGAAGCTACCTCTCACCATCAGCAAGCATCAGTTATTCCACCTGCTGAGCAAGAAGGTTTTACTCCCTTTCGCCCTGTTCCACTAGCTCCATCTACTGATCCAGTTCGCAGGAGGTTACCAGCAGAACAGCCACCAGCAGGACGACCACCAGCGGTAGGAGAATTCAGTCCAGGGACACCATCACATGCAGTGGGAGTTCCACAGGCAACTTCCACTTCATCCGTAAGTCATTCTCCCACTGCTGAAGTACCTGCAACTTATCCAGCCCGTTTTGGCCAGACTTATCAGAGACGCATGTGGAAGCTACGGGAGAATTCTCTCTCTTCGGCTCCTCTTGATGATACAGTGTGCAACCTTGAAGACTTACTGGGAGAACTCCGAATTCACAACACTGCATCTGAAGTCCCGCCTGCAGCTACGGGGGATGCTTCATCGTCTTCCCACTCCATCGATCCTCTCTTTCGAAGGGGGAAAGAGTAAGGAAACGTGTCGAAAGATATGATCAACTTTTGGAGAAGAGGAAGAAGCATCGAGGTCTATTTTCATACGGAGAGACTCACCAAGAACCTACTTCTTATGAAGAGGCCTTACAAAATGCTAATTCCATCAAATGGAAACAAGCTATGGAGGACGAATTTTCTTCCTTGAAGAAAAATCACACCTGGACATTGACAGAGTTACCTGCGGGTAAGAACGTAGTTGGCTGCAAATGGATTTACAAAATCAAATACAAGCCTGACGGTTCTGTTGATCAATACAAGGCCAGGTTAGTAGCCAAAGGCTATTCACAGGTTTATGGTGTTGACTTTTCAGAAACTTTTTCCCCGGTGGTGAAGATGACATCCATTAGGGTGTTAATGGCTCTAGCAGCTCAGTACAATTTAGAGCTGCACCAGATGGACGTGAAAACTGCATTCCTGAACGGGCGGTTGGACGAAGAAGTCTACATGGCCATTCCTGAAGGGTTGAAGATCTCTTCTGAGAATAACATGGTGTGTAAACTAAATAAGTCCATTTATGGACTGAAACAATCATCACGACAGTGGTACCAGAGGATTGACTCGTTCTTACTACAGATTGCCTTTACCAGGGCTAATGCAGATCAGAATGTTTACGTTCACTTTCAGGAGAATGCATTTGTGTATTTAGCACTGTACGTGGACGACTGTATACTGGCAAGCAATTCATTGCGTCTCCTCACGAAGATCAAGGAGAAACTTAAAGCGGAGTTCGAAATGGTGGACTTAGAAGAGATCCATCATTGTCTTGGTATGCAAGTTGACAGAAATCGTGAAGAAGGGTGGATTCGGATCTCCCAGCCACGATATTTGGTTGAAAAGCTTGCGAGGTTCAACATGGCTGACTGTAAGCCAATTGATACACCCATGGAACCCGGTTTGAAGTTAAGTACGCTTGACTCTCCCATTTCAGTGGGAGAAAGTGAAGAGGTGAAGAATATTCCATATCAAGCTGCAGTTGGGAGCTTGATGTGGGCTATGGTCTGCACTAGACCAGATATATCCTTTGCTGTCAGTTCTGTGGCTCAGTTCATGTCAAATCCTGGACTGACACATTGGAAGGCAGTCAAGAGAATTTTCAGATACCTGAGAGGAACTCTCGACTTTGGCCTTGTGTTCACGAGGGTTGACAAACCATCCGGTTTGACTGGATATTCTGATGCAGACTGGGGTGGTTGCCTTGACACGAGACGATCGACGTCTGGATACTGTTTCCAACTTAATGGCGGAACCATTAGTTGGACATCCAAGAAGCAAAAGTCAGTAGCGCTTTCTTCTACAGAAGCCGAGTACATGGCTTTGTCCAAGGCTGGAGCTGAAGCTATGTGGTTAAGAGAATTACTAACCGATCTAGGTTTTGAGCTGGAGTCGACCACTATTTTCTGTGACAACCAAAGTGCCATGTCACAGATAGAGAACAACAAAAGTCACGACAGATCTAAGCATATTGACATTAGATACCATTTTGTCAGAGATCTGGTTACCAATAACTTGGTGAAATTAGTTTATGTTCCAACAGAAGAGATGATTGCTGATATTATGACAAAACCATTAGCTAGAGAAAAGCAGTGGTATCATAATCAGAATTTAGGTTTATTAGTTGGAAATGTGGATGAGCGAAGTAAGTAGGTAGTAAGTGGGAGTGTTAGAAGTCGAATTACTACCCACTTCTTGGACCTCCGTACACTCACGTTCTTTGCTGTATGTACTTTGTACTATAGTCGGGGTCGTGACAGATTGTCACGACCAGCCGCTGTCCACTAGGGTTTCTGTATCTCTCGGACTGTCACGGTTGGGTATATATTCCCCATCCGGGTTCTCTCCCCATTAACTAAGATCTGCTCTCCAGTACTCAGTATCTGTGTCTCTCGACTCTTTCTTGTATTGCCTCACTTCTGTTACTATTATTCCGTACTATTATTGTGAGATGCAATCCTACTCAAAAAGCGAGAACAATCTAGAGAAGGGCACAGTAAAGCTCGTACCTCGGCGGCACCTATGGATAACCTTTTGGCATAATCGTTGGCGACATGCTGCCTCTCTGTACCACTAACTCCATCATGATGCTGTACTATAGCCATTGCCTCCTCCAGGGAATCTGTGTTCGGGCCCGTCTCATTTTTACCAACTAGAAACTCAAGTTGTCTCGCTGCCTGATTTCCAAATGAACAGTAAAAAGTTGTAAGTAGAGATACACTGAATACACAGCTCAAAGCGTAACATCTCCATACGCTCTAAATGTCTCCGTAGGTTTGCACATGATGGTTAAAGCTAACACATGTACCTTACCTGCAAGAATCCGCTTAGTCTCCGCACGTAACGCTTCAAAGCCGGTCGACTAGTGAAATATCCCGTCCAGTAACAGTGTGGACAGTCTGCATAGCTGCAATATATACTCCACATAATAAATCATTCATACAAATGTGTTGAGCCTCAAGCTGGCACCCAGACCGACATACTTTTGAACTTCACGGTATTGATTGACTTAAGTACAGTTTAGACCTATATCCGATTATAGCAATAATAAATTGAACAGTGCATGATAAGACGGAGAACATTCATAAACTTAAACTAAAGTGGAATGTGATGCCTGAGCAAAGAAAACATCCTAAGTTGTAGATCTAAGGTTCCCAGCAAGACTAATGTACAGTTCGCTACATCTGTCTGTATTAGGCCATTCGTACAGAGCGAGGCAACACCACGAACGAGGAAACGGCGACTTTAGTCTCTAATTCCCTACATGGATGTAACAACACTCACGGAAAGAAGTCGTCCTCTTTCACGGGCCACGTTTCATTTGCGGCGTGCTTGGAGTCCAAGTACATTGAGGGACTGGAATAAAACACGTTCACGCGCCCATCCTGAAATTGAAGAATATGAAGTACTGTCAATGGACATTCGTAAGCATCTCTGATAGTCAATATTCTTGCTTTTGTTCCTAAGACTGGGTATTGCAAACATTTCTCTTCTCCAAAGACTGACTATATAACCACACATGCTCTCGTAGAAGTGGAGCCTTTCTATCCAAGAATGAGTCTCTTTGTCAGTGGCTACAGCAGGCAATTTAGGGGGTTCAGACAACAGTAAGGGCTTTGACAGGTAATGTTCTGAACGCCAAGTGGTGAACCAGCTTCGTTATATGATACACTCATCCTCTGCTGTAAGAAGTAGCTCGGCGTATCTAAGAATAAGGTAACAAAATGCAAGGGAAAGGCAAGGCGTAAGGTTCGACTCAACGATATCTTACCAAGTTTACATAGTGAATGAGCTTGTCCAACTGCTTGAACCAGGTTTCCGCATATTCGTACGCGAAGTCCTCTCCCATGGTCCACATTGTATGGTTTGTACGGAATTGAGCAGCCTGTGAAAGATATTGATGTCATTGAACACAAATTGCAGAAAAAATAAAAAACAGATAGTCCACAGTGTAAGCCCAGAATATATCTTGCTGTGCTTCTACAAGTGATGCTGAACCGACCTGTTCTTGAACAAGTTTTACAAAGAGCTCAACGCGCTCTTCCACGTTGTAGTCATATAAGAGTGGATCGTCCTGTAAACAGTCAATATTGAGCTTAGGCGCATACTCCGGCTCAGCTCAAATTTGATATATGGCGACTAGAGTCGCACCTTTCTAACAGATTCCTCTTGAGGCAATTTCAAGACTTTGTACAATGATGTTTACCTGGAATAGTGGTGCTTCCGAGTGAATATCATATCTAAATTCTGGTGGCGGATCGTAGTGATGTCCTAGAAGTCCACCGAAGAGCTGCAAGAGGGATCGAGATCTGGAGCGTAAGCAATATATGCTGGTTCTCTTGAAGAAAAGAGAATCCAAGACAAGAGGTTCCACAAAGCGTGCGATTATTTGCCAACAATAACCAGATTCTCCGATAGACACTCACTGTTTAACCTTGTGATTTAGATACAAATCAGATGACAAGCGGCTTCCCCTCGATCAATTAAAGCCATATTGACTCGAGAAAGAAATGCTCTAGAGCTTACCTGGGCAGACGCCCCCAGGGTTTTAGATCCACGCCAAATAAATTCCATAGTGCGATCCGCCTGGCGCTTGGCTTTGTCTTGATAATCAGCTCGAGCAAAAAATAATGCATCAAAACCGACCTGCATTGGAAAAGCTCACTTTTTAAGATATTGTGAAGCGTTCTATCTAACTCTACTTGAATATAATGGAGTTATGAAGCGACGATGATAAACACCTTCCAAAAAGAATATGAGTTCATATATTCGAAGTTGCATCATATCTACTTACGATTAAAAAGTTCTGGAAACACCCACAGATTGTCTCAATACTAATAAGGACGTTGCAAAGAAGCGTGAATATTCATTCGAGCTTACGAACCTCGGCTCCAAGAAGGTAGCCTTGAACAGCAGAATGTCCAAATGGATCAATCTGCCAGCCGATCCGAGGAGCGACATCAAACTGATCTTTGATATACCGGTGCCCAAGGGTAGTTTGATCGATCATATCTAAGTAATGTGTGGTCGCCTCATCATGCATGCACCATCCACCATTGCTGCATACATTCACACGTCTACAGTCAGCAGCTCGCGGACATCTAACAAGTAAAATGACAAATTGTCGGCATTGCCAGATGATAGTCTTTCAGCTTCGAAATTACAAGTGAGCTTACATGAACTCGAGCTGTCCCTTCTCCACTAGCTTCTTCACTTTCTTTTGCATCTGCTTGTTTTGCAATCTCCACCAGCGCTGGAAGAATGCCTGGGCATTTCAAGAAGGATAAAGAAGTGGCTTCAGTTCATCGGCTAAACGACAGAGTCATGACTTAGCATCAATTTCATATGATTTTTAGGAGACAGGATGACGTTATTTGTCAATCGGGTACCTGCTCGACGTAAATGAACTTGCGATCGGGATTCTTTAGCAGAGAATCAATGACCGAGCCGATGATGTACTGAACAGCTGCAACCTGCAGAAAAAACTGAAACTTTTCACGTTTTTGTCCGCCAGAGAGAGAAATCAGACGACGAAAAAAAGGTTTTAGGCTTTGGTTCAAAGTAGCATTGTCGCTCCCAGCTACTGCAGGATGAAAGCGCCCTGAGGAGAGGAGCTACTGTCTCCACTGGAAACTTTAAGATGAAACTCTGAACTGATAAGTGACCACACTTGCACAACAGATCTTCTCAACAAGAGAATTATTAGTAATGCTTGATCCCATGTCGAAGGAAACTGATCGCAGTGTCGATTGTCGATCAATCATACTTGACTAATTAAGACAAATGAAATCAGATATTGCAGAAGAAGTACCGCAATTACCAGCTGGGCAATTGGACGGGACCATATGAGTCATCAAGTCTAAACTAATAACTTGAGAAATTACTACACAGAGCTACAACGATGCAGCGTCTCTTCTGCTTGCAGTTGACAAGCTGATAGGAGTGGAATAGACCCAAAGAGCTGAGGCTTTCTCAATTGACCTGGATAGTGTTATTGGAGCCGACAAAGTACTGATCAACCGTCTTCAGCCACCCGACATCGTCGTGTGTGTGGGGGACTAGGTGCACATTGAGCTTATCGGGAACTGGGCCCGCGTCGGTGTTGTAGGGGGACTCATCGTCGTCATCATCATCATTAGACTTCTTAGAGCACAGGCCGAGCTTTTGTCGATGAGATTCTGCTACACTTACAGTCGCAGACAAACCAAGAACCAAAAGAACCACGACCCACCAGATCGGTGCTCCCATCGCGACAGCAACGAGTCTCAAATTCTTTCCTTTTCGCTCTCTCCCCTGATCTCTCCCCTGAGTCAAACCCCTCAGTCCCTCACTCGAACACTCGCCATCTCTCGTTTCAATTGCCCACCACCCTCTTTTCCTTCTCGTCCTCGCCTCGCCACATTCGGAGCATGGAACCTGAAACTGCAGGCGAGCGTTGCATGCATGCTTATATTATACGGAAACCTCGTGCCAATCGCTGCCTCGTCACCTAAAACCCTCCATCTCTATCTGTATTGACCGTCTTGGGCCCCACCGACGGAAGGCGCAGGACAAAACGCTCCTTCTGCAGCAGCCTTGCGAAGGACAGAAGGAAGCCGGAGGATCTTGTTTCAGAAAAGGAAACTCCAAGGACGCCGTTTTATCTGTCTATCTGATTCACTGCACAACATTACTTTACATCGGATATGGTTTCCTGTTGCCGGGAACTCGTGCCTCGTCAGTCAGAAAGGACTATTTTGACGCGGATAACAACTCAATGCATCGCACTGAGTGTTCGGATGATTCGATCAAACTTTATAATTGAACTTCCTCTTCTTTTCTTTTCTGTTTTTTTTCTTCGCCGGCCGACAAGCGGGGGAGAAGATGACACCAACCCAGTACTGCCAAACTTTCCCAAATCGCCCAGGATTTGCACCTAGCTAACACCTTTGCATTGAAAATATTTATGGTACGAACCAAATTGGAATAGAATGTGAATCAATTCAAAACAATTGATTATGCCGCAAATAATCCACTATTTGCACTTAGTTATTTCGTGAGGACTTCACCCATCACGAAACTTGTACAAAGAGTACAAGTTACACGATGAATGGTTAAAATCAAGAAGCGGCGGAAATGAACCAAAACAGCAACACCTGTTTAAAAAAGTTGAAAAAAAATGTTGAAAGAATGATCTATATTTACAACGCGGGCACTTATCATGCCACAGCCGACGTTCATGCGCCCATGGATGACCTGATCGATGCTGCAAATGCTTGTGGTGCCGTGAGGTAGTGTTGTCAATGAAGTTTCATTCTTGCATTATCAAGAACTTCCCTGCATCTGCTCAAGGTAAAACAAGGATTCGAACATTAATGCCCCATACGAAAGAAGACAACCTCTCTCTAACGATCATGCTTCTTTGGCACGCCAGACTCTTACAGGGTCGAAGTGGTTCTGTGTTGTGCTACGGCCACAACGAATTATTGCTCATTGTACGTGAGAATTTGGGTGGATGGAGGCAATAGAAAAGAGTTCTCGAACATTGAGCACCCGATATCCGCTCCATCGGAGCACGAGCAATCTGTGACCTCGAGCACGTTCGGTGCGTTAGGTAGCATGTGATAAAGGCTTCAAAGCGAATCCAATCAGCATCTGACGAATTTAGCTGTCCTCGGAAACCAGGCGCGATGCTCGATCTCCCAAGTGTACAAACATTTATACAAGTGGCATCGTCGTCTTCGTCTGTTCACAAAGGGAAGGGCGTTTCTTTCTTTCCCATCATTCGGGCAAGAATGCTCTAATATTACAAAGTTGCGGAATCCATCGATATTTTCTCGAATCATGGTGCTTCCGTAGTGAAGGAACATCAGATAGAGCCATTGGCACTAGAGTCACCATCGAGGTTCTGAGCCTTGTCATGACACTGTCTCTCGGTATACTTCGAATTGGGCTTTGTGAGGATTCAGTTTGTGAAGCTAAGCGTTTTAGTTTGGAAGGAACGGTCCACAATATGTTTTCTTTAAAATAGTTTTGTTCAATATAGTTCACAGCTATAATATGTGGTTCCAAGACTCTTGTTGTATTTGGTTATGTTCAATATGATTTAATGTTATGATAATAACCTCCTACCTTCATGTAAGTTTGGAGAATATAGATACAAATTTGGAAGTTCAAAGTGGATTTGAAAAAGATAATATTGGTTTCTTAGATGTTTAGAATTGTTTTGGAGAATGTTGGACAGATGGTAGCTATGAGTGGGAATGTATACATTTCACCAAAATTTCACAACGCTTGCTCACTTGAAAAAATTGACTTCAAATTTTTATTCAAATACAGAATGTGAAATTGATAGAAAAGCATATTGATTTGATTAAGCTAAAAATCTCCACCACACCAGTCACTTTATATACACCTTGAACCTAATGCATTCATTTGACCAAAGTTACCGTCTAACTAAAGCTAGACAAAAGATCTCCTTCCTTCGAACAAATTCTTTCACATATTTTATGACTTTAATTAAATATTTTTCCTCTAAATACAATCACTCATCATCATATCATATTCTCTCCAGATGCAACTTGTCATAAAATAAATTAGTTTCTCTATATAATTACTCTTCACCTTTTAAATGTGAACTAATTGCTCTCTAAAGTTCAATGTCAACCATTGAATCTGTACTCGTAAACGCTATGTGTATTAATGACAATGTCTATCTTTAGTAAAGTCCTTGTCCGTAAAACGGATCTATTTTTACAATCAATTCTTACAACCATAGCTTTTTCCGCACATGAATTTCTATTTACTAAGATAACTATTAGATAAGTAATGAATGAAAATATAAAAATCTTTTCAAAATTATAATATGAGTAGAATATCACGTAGAAGATAAAATATTGAGCAACCTTTCATTATTTAAATATATCCCTAAACTTTAAGGCTGTAAATCACCATTCTTGGATTATATCATGATTCCTACACACCAGGTAGTTATCCCTTGGATACGTAATTCCCTAACCAATCATTTGACCGTTTACAATGAATTGCCTTGATAAGATGTCATATCATTTGATAGGAATCAGAAACATCATCTGTCAAGCTTTTAATTTGCGACAAGTTGACAATCAATCCCCATCAAAGCACACGAGAGGAATAAAAAATTCTCATATAAGGTCTAGTGACTTGCGACGTAGCGAAAGCGAGTCTTCTTAGGGCAATTGTCACTGCTTGCTGCGATGATGAACCACATCCTCTGAATATGAAAAGAAATAAACGTAACACCCATTTTCAACACCGTGAATCATCACAGTCAGAGCACAAAATAATTTTTCTTATTAAGAACAACCATCTCTAACTTAGTTAACAACTCAAAGTTATGTGCTGTTCCATAAGCACCACATGGACGCATCGGGAATTCTTAGCCTGAATGATGTACTTTTGAGTTTATTTCTGTTAAAGCAGGGAAAGAATACACTGAGATGAAAGTGTGTGATCGGTGTAAAAGTCCATATGATCACCATTCGATCGCATGTCTCTTGTCCACGAGTTCACACTTCTGAAATTGGCTGCATTCACTCTTCTCTGGACCGTATGTAGCAACAGCATTAAAAGTCGCACCAGGTCCCACTTTTCTCATCGTCTTCTGTTTGGATAAAATAGCGCAGTCCTATTCACTGCAACAGAGCTCCTCTTGTCTCAAACGCCATTTCAGCACAACTGTTGCCGTAAGGCTTGACAGGCATCCAACGAACTGCGGACTCGGAATCAACCTTTCGAGAACTGGCGAATTACCACTCAAACCAACCAAGCTTGCTGATTAAATTGAATTCGGGTTTTCGCAATAAAATCGAATCAACAGAAACCTCTTCGTCCAATTGTTACTGACAACGTTTCCATGAAGTTTTCTCAAATCATATGTGCACTTCCAGCTCGGTGCCTAAGTGGATGTCTGTAGAAGGCCTTGTTCCTCGTTTGTAATTTGTTGCTAGTTTTCACTGAAACCCTCTCACAGCACTATAACTACTACGACGACAATTTACACATAATTTTAGATTATCTTTACATGGTGTCGGAATATAAACTCAAATGCTTCGGAAAGTGGACATCAAAATCAGAAGAACTTAACACATGTGGCAATAGTGGGAGCTGCAGCACAATGTCTGGACAGGCCTGATACTGTATTCTTCGTGACATGTCACCCGTGCATCGTCTCGTCAACGAGACAGGTCAACGAGACGGGCAAACCGTATGAGATGTATTACTTACACTCGATGTGTGGACAACACATGCAAATCCATGGACGACCAAGTTCAAAACATAAACCCGTGGAACCTAACTTCTTCTAAGGGACCGATGCACTTGGAAAAATAATTTTTAATAGATACAGGGACTCGTGCTTTCTGAGGACTCGGTGCTCTCGAGTAGACATACTCGACAGAGTGTGGTCCGCACGATCTAGTTTTTCAAACAATGATTTCTCAGCTCATTCACTGCACTCAAGTCGAGGCCAAGTATTTCTTTTGATGGGTCCATGTCAAACAAAGTCGGTGGCATGTCATGACAGATAGTTTTGAACCGTCAGGTTCCAGGATGCAGGACCATAATTAAGTAATAGTGAACGATAGGTAGATTCATCAAATGATGATGGTGCAGCTCTAGGAAGAACAGTGACTGGAAAGCATACCTTACAAGGGCCATTCTGCTGCACTGACATGATCAGCTCGAGAATTCGCTACAAATTTACAGCAATTGAAGTGTACAAATTGGATATCCGTTGCCTATCTCCTACCAGTAGAGATTCAAGGTTCCCCTTGCGAATTCCTTGAAGGCGGGATTCGTGAAAAGAAAATCAGATCCTTCTGCCAAAATTGCATTCACAGTGAGAAGAACTACAGAAGAGCCCAGAATCATGGCTACTACTACTCCTGTGGTTCCCAAAACCTTGGGTAGAGGGGGCCACTCGATGAGCTTGGTTTCATCGACCACCCCTTGCCAGAAATCATTGGTGCTCGCGGGTCCCTGCACATCCGAAGCGACCCTTTCCTTTCTAAGCTCGCTCAAGGCCTTGCCTATTTCATCAGGAGAACTTGCGGTGGTCGTCTTCTCGTCAGTCTTAGCTGCTGCGGTCGCCGTCTCCGCTTGAAACTCTGCGTCCACGACCTCGCCGGCCGAATCCCCATCGCTTCCAGAACTTATTGCAGGACTTCCCTCCGAATCTTCTTTCCTTTCCTCTTGCTGCACAGAGCGTTTGGATTCTAAGCCATGGGGCCGCGACGGTCCTCTCCTGGCCACCAGCGCTTTCCTGCCGTCAATTCCGACTGCCCTTCCGTGATCCAATGTGAGTGAGGTCCATTCGGTTCTCGAGGAATTGAAAGCTCGCACGCCGCAATTCACAGTTGCGCACCGACACGACGGCACGGACGAGAGCACGGGAAGGCATCCTCCAATCGACCGTTTCGCCACATTTCCGAGAGAAATGGCCTCCATCAACGCCATTTCGCTTTCTCTCGCGTGCGCGCTTCTGGCCGTGGCTCAACTGCTTGCTGTTAGAGCTCCTCGCAAACGAGAAAACTGCGAAGTACGGTCTCACCTCCGCTGCAGGAACCCGCTCAATCCACTCTGCTGGACATGGGCTCTGGGACGCGACCCCGAGCTCCAGCTCCAGCTCTGTAGCTCTGTGGTGTTGTGCAGATATGCCAAGATAGGACACGCGTGAAAAGTGTTTTCCGGTTTCTGCTCGTAATTGGGCCTGTGAGTCCCAAAGCCGTGCCCATGTTACGATATCGCAGTTCTCATTTACATTTCCCCCACACCGCCAGCTCGAGAGTGCTATATTTGCATCCGAGTCCATATTACTACTCAACAGTGCAATAGCTGAGAAATGTTCACGAAAGTTGTAAAAGTAAGCTCGGCTTGCTCATTAATATTTGTGTTGAGGGAACCTCCTCCGCAAGCCACTCTCCAACGAGATCAATGGTATCCGTCTTCTACCTTTCCTCCTCAGGCGTTAAAGCTTGCGTTAGACTCCGATGGTAGATACACTTAGGCACAGAATTTGAGACTTTGGACGAGGTTTATTGGAGAGATTGTGAAAGAGTGAGTTCTGTTTGGTGAGAATGTGCAAGTAATGGAAATAAGTAAGAGGACCACTCGTCCAAAGGGTGGCTCTTTCGTGCTTCATATGTAGGGGACAGCTTCCAAACAAGTAGCACATTTGGATTGATACAACTTGGCGCACAAGGTGCTTACATTAAGAAAGAGGTTGATCTTATACTTCCATGACCTCTCCACATCATTATAGTAGCTGGCAGTGACCAGCTGTGTAAATAAATTTTTGATGCCCTGCTATAGTCACAAAGGCTAAACTAAGTGGTGACACTATAGTAAGAGGCCGCATTGATAAAACACATAGAAACCTCTCGCGAGAGAGGAGAAAGAATATGCTGCCACCTAAGGAACTCAGCAGTCTCAGTCAATCCTGTCCAGGTAATGCTTCTGCAGTGAATGGTTGATTACGCCATCTGAAAAAATCAGCGGTGAAAGATAGATTGTAACTGGGCACTTGGTTTGTGAGTACTCTGCCAAAATTCGAGGAGACCAGAAAGAGGAGGGCCCAGAGCTGAAAAAATTATGTTAAAAGCCAAATGTACAAAAGATAATCTTTTCTCGGACGGCTTCAGTCCACTACGAAGGTTGTGAAACGTGTAGCAATCTTCGCGCTTTTGTAGTCCTCTCTGAGTTGAATGAACCTGCGATCAAAAGAAATTCACTTCGTGACAAGACTGATGGGGACTACATACTGGAGGCTTGACTTTCCACCTTATTAGAGGCAGAAGCTAAAGAAATATACACACCCTGAGTGTTGCGATTCACATGTTCTCTAGATGATCCTGGTGAGTGTGGAATTTCTGAACCATGTAATTGGAATTCACGTCATTCACTTACCGAAGAGCATCCTTTCGGGCGAGCTTGAGACTGCTATCGAGTAAAGTCGGCAAACTCTCTGGTGCCACGATGAAAACATTCACCAACCTGTTGTACAACACAAAGATAATCCAAATTAGCTCCAATACTCATGAATACACATGACAGTCACTTTCATCATCAACCAAAGTGTGAACTTAGAACCCAAGGAAAATGGTGTTTCCGCATATAACTCACGTTCCCAACTGCTCGAACTTTTCATCTACAACAGGCGCTTTGAAACTGCGTACAAATTCTGCGTACTCCGAAACGTCACGCTTCAATCTCAGACCACCACTAAACACACAAGCAAGACAAGGTCAAAAGGTCAGGAATGAATTGACATGTAGACTACTCTTTCATCCACAACAGAGTCAAGACGTGAGTTCAAATACAATTTCTGTTCGTAACGTAATAACAATATCATACAACCGCAAGCGCTGATAAGCAGAAGGATGGAAAGTATTCAAAACCTGGCACTGAATACGTATTTTAGCCAGTGCGCGACTAGGCTTTTATGCAAACGATTTCCCTGTTGTAAAAGATAGAGCAACGTATTAGTTCCAATGAGAGTGGCGCAATACACCTGCATAGAACATGTGCAGCATCCTCTGAATGCTCAAACTAAGTCCATCTTCTGACAAAGAAACTAAACGTGAAGACAAGATTTCCTTCCAAAGACATACCAGCTCTGTCATGAAAGCCTGTTTGTTCAGTCCTTCTAGCGCACCCTGTGCTGCCTCCAACATTCGTGCCAGATATTGCACCACCCTGGTTGAAAATCGTTCAAAGGTGTTAAAGAGAGGATCAGGCATGCGTAGTGTACGTTTGATAGGCAACTTGAACCCCTTTGAAGCTGTCTCTGCTGATAGTGCAGAAACTTCATGCATAATCAGAACGCCTACACATGGGAACAAGCTCCGTCTCGAACATAATCAGCATACAAGACTTGAACGGGTGGACTGAGAGAAAACTATCGGTATTTACACAAAACGATGGCATCTGATGCGCGCCGCATTATATCGTAAGCTGGAAAACAGCATGGAGAAAGACCCATATATCTACCTAATACATGCTGTAGTCGGCCGATGATCCGGAGGATTGCCATCATCGACAGGACGATAATCTGGAGGTTTCTGTTCTGCCGTCAACAGTCTGTCTGCCTGGAAAATTTAACAATAAGAGGTTCAGAATATTCTCATTTTGATGTGATCAGAAGAATACAGGAAAAAAACAGGATTTGTGGATATTTCGGAAAGCAGTCATGCCAAAGCTCAGAAAGAAGCAGCCTTAAGAAGCACGAAACCAGCTCAATAGTTCCTTTGAGCCAATAGTTCATTCACCTAACTGCTTTCATGTAAGGGTTCAGTTTCAGTCAACTACGAACAAGATTTACCGAGATGTATGGAGTCTTGTCGAACAGCTAAATGTGGGTAACTATAATCCAATTCGGAAGGTATTTCTACACCCAGTATGGATGGAAAGTCACAGAGAATACACACCTCTGCAAGTATGGTGTCAATACAAGTTTGAAGCCCTTTCAAGGCAGCTGCTTCGGAGTTTGCCATCGCGTTTGCCATCTCTTCACAACACGCAGCATGGGCTCCATCCACCGGTAGAAGCAGTCGAGAGATTGAGTTTACAAAGTGCTGCACAAATCAAACATAAGAAAGGGTTACATTCGTCTCGTTCTAGAGACAAGTGCGCGAAAGACAACAACTTCCATTGGAGTGTCCTTACATTGAGCAATGAGAACGACACAAATCAGTACTCTTTTGATATTTTCTTCAGAGCTTATGAATTTCATTTCCTTGTTATGAGCAGTTATACTTGTTTATCTTAATCTTATAAATCAAGTGGCCCTTACGATGACTCTGTGAGTCGTCAAAATCGGAAACAACAAGGCTATTGAGCAGAACAAACGGACACGTACTTGTTGAACAAGAGCCACATTAGCGGTAGCTCGCTGAACAGCAACCATAAAACTACGAACACTGCTTTCTCCTGCATGTGCAGCAGCTTCTGCCTGGATATGTATCGTTCAACCTCAAATATGTCAGAAATGTAACAGGCCCGGAATGCGGATAGTCCATCAGCTGTAATGTTAGTGTGTCCTAAACTGCAATTTTAAACTTTGAACTTTGATTTGAAACAAACAATGATCGTCACTCTTGCGGCAATTGCAAGTTGAAAATTTATGCAGTAGCCTGTGAAAACAACTTACAGCGGCAGCGGCAGCGGCCATCACTCGTCGACTAACACTAGTACCAAGCATGAAGCGTTCTCGCAATGCAGCTGCTTCATTCAGTGCTTCTTGTGCTCGCTCTAGTCCTTCTGTTGTGTACTGACTGACCTGCATACATCCATTTAGACAAGAAGTTATTGAGGCATGAATCAAAAGAACTTCAAGCAACACCAGCCCTCAATACTCTTAGCTATAAACAGGACATGCCATGGTGCTTTACCGAAGCACTTCATTCAGGGCTTCTTCTACCGTCCTGACTGACCTGCGAGTATCCAGTACGAACAAGGAAAGATGCCTAGAGAGACTGAAATATCAAGACAAAGTTTCATGCCGAAACTAAGTAGAGGAAAAGCCAGATGGTCCGACAGTATCCAGTATATCACCTGGTCGAGCAGACACGTGAAAATAGCCCTCACATTCGTTGCAAGGCGCAATGGCTGCAGATAACGAACTGAAGTTAGGCCGATAAAGTGCTGAGCCAAAACCAGACAAATAATATGATAGCGTCCTGATCGGTTATTAACGGTGTACAATTATTATATATATAGTCATCTGGTAACCATGTGTACCACCAGAGTGGTTTCTGGCTTCTATTTTTTAACTGACCTGTGGAGTCAGTAGGGTGCAACGCTGTACTGCCTCCTCATTCCACCGCACAAACTCCGTAACCACACTGACAGACATAACCATCTGACCCCCAAAAGATGTGGCAGGTGCTCTAGCACCAGGTCCACGGGGAGTACCAGGTGCCCCAGAACTTGGATCACCTGATTGTGCACCCATAACTCTCAATTCTGCAATCTAATTTACACAAGGTAGTCAGAAGAGGATTAAAGTCAGAAAAACAAAATTAAGATCAAGGATCCAGTAGAGGTTACCCTCAGCTTTCACTTGCTTCCGACTAAAGTTCCACAGAAGAACTCACGGGTTAAAACTCAAACCCGTCTCTCTACAAGTAAACAACACGTAACTAAAAACACGTACCTTATCTTGATAAAGCTGACAGAGAGACGCCTGTTCCAATTCCGGATACTCATCCCTGTGTGAGGAAAATAAAGCCTCAGCAAGCTCTGCATTCATCACGAGACCAAGTAAATCTTTGTTAGAAGATATTTAAACTTGGTCAAATTATCCTGCACAAACTCCCTTACATTAAACATGTTTCTGCTTCACAAAACTACATTCATCACATCCATCATTCGTGTCTAGATATAAATTTGAAAACTTCACAAACTTGTCATAATCTATGGAAGGAAACCGTTGGACGGGGGGCGCTCTTCAGGGCATTTGTATCCACCTTCGGCATCCAGATCACCACATCCAAGAGTTTGTAGCTCTTTCGCAAGGTCCTGGGTCTTCTCGACAGCAGTAGCTAACGTCCGAAGATACTGATAAACAGGAATAAATACGCGTCAAGGAGTTATCATTAGATATCTCCCGGAAGAATTTCAGAACAAGGTATGAAGGAACGACCACCAGCCACTTCTAAAGATTCACATTGCAGTTACACATACCTGCAAGTAGCCTCCTTCCTCGATTGGTATAGGGTTGGCCAGTGTTGGTTTCTCCAAAATTCTGTCAAGAACTGCAAACACCCGCTGCTCAAGAATTCTCTGCAAACATCAAAACGACGAGAGAACCAACAGCCTCATTAGAAGTGTAGTTAAGTAATATCCAAGTGATATGACTCAGAGAAGAACCTGTTATCCAATGAGGGACTCACAGCCTGTTGAGCACCTGTTAGCCACAATGTTGAGGTAACTATTTGTAATAAAGTCTACAGTAGGCAAAGTAGTTGCCTAGAAAGAACACAGTCAGGGAGAATGACTCGCAGATAAAGAGTTCCTCAAATTTCCTATATAGTACAATTAAGTAGCCCTAGAGTTTCAATCCGTAGAATAGCTGGCTTGTAACAGATGCTTCGAAGCAACCTGATTCTTCATTTTCAAAGGCTTTGCTTTCATCATATCATTTTCGTATCTTTTTAGGTATAGAATGAATATAACAAGGTTTAAATCCCCTGGAACAGAGCTACTTTATAGCTCACCTGGACGAGAATGGACATCACAGCATCTGGAGAAGGGAAGACACTCGTAACCATAGCTGCCTCCTTCTGTACAGTGTCTGAAAAAACACATCGCAATGATTCGATGCTCCTTGATCAGCAAACCGCATAAGAATATCCTTAAAAATTATGAAGCCCATACGCAAGAAAAAGTACCCAACGTACATATGACAACAGTAAAGCTCATAGAAGTACAAACATTTACTATATGGTAATAGCATGTACAAACCTAGAATCTCTTTGTAAAGGGCATTCAGACCCCTCGCAATGTTAGATGGCTCCCCAACAGTTTTCGCATCTAATTCCATTACTTCCACATCCATGAACATGGGGCGCGAGGCAACGTATCGCTGCATGGCACTTACTCCTCTATTGAACTGATTTCACAGCATAAGACAGGTGCGAGAACTTGATTAAGTCTGGAGGGTAATATTCAACAGATAACGAAAATTACTTCCGAACAAAACTTACTGCAGCTACCTTTCAACTAAGACTAAGGAATCATGCAGTTTTTTTAATCTATCTAAAACTGCAGACTTGCAAAAACAAAATCTCCAGAAAAAATTCCAGCTTCGGTACCTGGCTCAGAATTTTTGCACACTCAGCCATAGTCGATAATTCTCGCCTTTGAGATGCAGCGTCAAATTTAGCTAGTAGCCTGTTTTCAAGCTCTGAACACAAATCGTAGAAGCCAGACAGAAATGTTATCACCAAATGTGATTACTTTCAAGAAAATTACTAATATAATGGTATCATGACACATTTTGCATACTTCACTCACCTGTACATACATAATGACAACGAGAGCAGCAGAAAGAAGTGTGTCGAAGCACCTGCTCCTGACCTTAAGCATCTAGAGCGTGTGTATTCGTGAATCAACGATAAAACTATATTATAAAATCTCAACAAGAGAGGACAACAGCGCGCCAACAAGCCATCCAATAAGGGAAGATCAGAAATCAACAGGACTTCACACTGGTGGGTAAGACAAAGCACAAGAATAGCTATACGAAATACGTTTTAAAAGACACCAACTGCATTGATGTCCGAACTAGAACTATCATTGACTACAGACTACTAAAGAAAATAATAGGTACAAATTATCTTACGACTCCAAAATGAAAAGTCCAATGCATTGTCTTAAAAACCTACTACATATGTATTTGTATGAGTGAATCGGTCTTGAGCATCGATTTTTCTTTTTTGACCACGTTTGAGATGGGTTCAAATTTCGTACTTCATGATCAACATTAGTGAGTTCAAAGCAACTATAACAACATACAACCTTATTGTGAAGTTCAACTATGTATGATGCGTTAAAATTGCGTCACGTACTGAAATGTATGATGCGTGTAGACATTAACTAACCATTACAATAATCTTGCAAATTCGCAACAGCAACCTCCAGACCCATGCTCGCATTGGGAGTATTCTTCATCGCTGAAGAGGATACTGGTCCGGGCAATCCAAGATCGTCCTCAGCATAAGAACCTGATAACAGTAAGTAATATCAGGTTAACAAATTACCTTCATAAGTCAGCGCAAGGTATAGATACCACTGCTAATCTAGGAAACCATGGGGAGCAGCATGGATTCACTTAGCAACAGAAGCCGGAAAATTACTCATCAAGTGTAAGCTGACACCTATGAAGGCCACTCACGAAGTTTTTGAGCAACAGCTGCAGCTTCAGCAACTCGGCTGTCATCTGTGAACAAAGGAGAAAGCTCCATGAGGTCGCCTGGACTGCTGTTGAACTCCATCAGATACTAAACACATCCACATAAAAAAAGTCATAAGCAATCTCAGACCGTCTGAGACAATGCTGTTCACGTCAAAAAGCTATTGTCAGAATACGCTTGATCTGATAGATAATAAAAACATTAAAGATAAGAAAAAAACAAACGCACAATTGCGGACTCTTTTGCACACCTTAATGAGCTCGATTGTCTGACTTGCGACATCCCTGTGAGCATCTGCAGCCTGCAAAACAAACAAGTGGATAACCACATCTCGGTTCAAACAGCGTAGTAAGTGACAAATCGAAGTAAAAGGATCCCGCTTCGTTGTAGGCGTTGTTAAGCCATAGACTCATACTTCTTCATACCACCCGGAGAACCACATGATGCGTTACCTGAAGATGGTCACCTATCCTTGCGGCGGTTTGACCCACACCAGATATTCGAGAATCCAAGCGGCCAAAACTTTCATTCAAGATCGCTACTCCTTTTTCCAACTGCATAGCGCAACGATTTATAAGTTAAGTTATCGACTCTGAAATACTCCCTTTCAGACATTTTCAGTGATTAAACTGTAGCTTCAAAACAGCAGGACACTCAAGTCATGGGCCTTTGGTGATCCTAAAGACCCAAGCTTACCATAACCGGGGCACAAGCTGATAAAATTAGTGCAAGACAACCTACCAAAAATTGCTCACCTCGCTAATTCGCTTGCCATGCTTCACATCATAAGCAGCAACCTCCTTTTTCAATTTTTCCAGTCTTGTATCAACCTGTCAAAATTCTAGCCTTGTTAGAATCGAAAAAAGCTTATGTGAGATGTCAGTAATCTCATCATGAAACTGAAGAAGACCCGTCAAGTCAAGGTTGCAGACAGTGTACTTTTGAAATAAATTTTATGAACATGAAAGAGATAGATTGTGTAGTTCAAAAATGCACCTGATTGCAAAGATCCACGAGTTCCTTGCGGGCATCTTTGAAAAGCGGCTGCAATAATTCAGCCTCGACAAATGGAGGGCCTGTTAAGAGGGTGAGTCTCCCTCCCGCGTCCGAGTCGCTACGACGATAGTTTCCATTTGAAATGGGAGGCTGCTCATTTGAATTTGGAGAAGAGACATCTTCTTCATGTAAAGGTGGTAAAACCTCACACACAAGATTCTTATAAAAGTCATCAAACGAAAAAGTTCCCTGTCAAGTGCAGCAACGAAGAGTCAGGACAGTAATTTATCTTTGCGTGTCACTGGATTATTTTTTTGTGCAGTCGGTAGCTAATTCATAATTCACTGTGCATCTAGAGACCTTTGCTATTTAATTATTTCTGCTCAAATCAATTTTCAGATTGGCTTTTTAGTGAAATAAAGAAAGACAGTGTTGAGTACAAGGAAGCCACATATTAATGTAGAGAACTGTGTGCTTCACAATCGATCAGTAGTTGCATTCAGCTTGAGCCAAAACACATCCTCACACGCGAAGAATTCCCCATCCCTAGCTGTTTCGAATTGGCTTCGGTACTCACCTTAAAATCCTCGACATCTAAAAGGAGAGGGAGTGAACTTCCGGATGAATCCTTGGATGACGGCCCCTTAACATTCTTCACACCTTTGCTCACTACGTCCCGGTCCCTCTCCTGCGAAATTTAAGCAGCAGGACAACAACAATTACGAGACATGCTCTGGTTCGATCAAATCCACGAATCAAATGCTGATCGGAGTGTCGCGAACAACCAAGAATAGAATCCTCCGATAAACACGTAAAGAGAGCTGTCGACACTGAATTGAGACATTCAGAATCCCCTGAGCTTCAGAGCGCATGACGTCAAACCAGACACTCAAACTCGAAGCTCATCCGAGGGCCGTGCGTACGGCAGACACACACTCACCATCGAATCGCATTCGACAAAGAGACTCCACAGGCAAGGTGACGGTACTACTAAACCGAGTAGCAGCAGCAGCAGCAGCAGAGTGTAAAATCACAGTCGGTCACATTGGCGCCGGGCATTGGACCCGCATAGCGGAAGCGAACAGGACCTACGACCAAGGCACCGGTTCCAGACAGTCGATTCGATACCGGGGCCGGGGATCCTCGACGAAACAAGAACCCAGGTCAAACCTACAAGCTGATCTCGGGGTTCGCCTGCAGCTCAGCCCGCGAGGCGAGTGACAGCCAGCCAGACAGACAGCGCGAGTTCCAGACCTGGCCTCTCTCCGGCCTTCCACGCAACGCGCAACTCCTAAGGAAGCAAAGCGAAAAGGTCGAGAAAAGAAGGAGCCGAGGCATCGATTTGCTCGAGCCCCGTTTGCTTTTGCCATCGTCCTTCTTTGGCTTCTTTGTCCTCTCCGTGCTGGGCAATCCAACGAACTCGTCTCCTGGTCCCCTGTACGAGAGCGCGACTCCCTTTCCTAAATCTCCGAAATTCCATATATTATTAATCATTAATTTCCCCCTTTTAAAGAAGATCTCCGGCCGCCCCCATCCGTCGACGGGGTCGGCCACCTCCGTCGTCCATTCGTGAACGGGCGCCACCTGTCGCCAGCCCACGCGAAGCTGTATGCAGATGTCCGGCGTGTCTCCGTCTGTGCGTCCGTCCTTCGGTCCGTCGGTCCGTCCGGGTCGTGTACTGTAGTTAGGCTTGGCCACGGTCCGGTCCGGACCGCCGGTTAACCGGTTAACCGTCGGGACCGGTTAACCGGTCCCAGATTTCTCCGGACCGGTTAACCAATCGGTTAACCGGTCCGGAGTGGTCCGGAGTTAACTCTTTGGGCCTCCGCCGGGGCCTTGTGGTGGACTGAGCGAGCGCTCGTCGACTGACGTCCGTGACTGGCGGAGCTGCTCTCGTCGTGTGCATCGGGCGTGAATCGGGACATGAGAGTGAGTGCAGAGCGAACGGCATTTCGGATTTCTTCTTGACTAAAAAAATTTCCTCTCGCAGCAGAATCAGACCAGCGAGGTACCCATTTCGTGATTCAGTGTGAGAAAATTAGCGAGAAATTTTTTCCACAAATTGGTACAATTCAGCTCGAGTCTCTGAACGTCCAACCGTGGGCTCCTTTGAGTCGCGGCCCACCTCTTTCCCTCCGCCATCGAGAACTTTTGGGTATTAAGCCCCTCCCCATCGGCCACGTAGGGGTCCGGACCGATGGTTAATCGATTAACCGTCGGGACCGGTTAAAAATATCGGTTAACCGTAACCGATATGGACCAATCCTGGACCGGTTAGCCGGTCCACAAATTTTCCGGACCGGTTAACCGTTAACCGGACCGTGGCCAAGCCTAACTGTAGTGCTGGTGCGCGTCGATGATTCCCCCGTCGTTCTTGTCGTTTTGAGCCTCCGTCGTCTGCAGGCTGCGGCCGCGGAGGTGGGTTATTTAATGCCGCCCGGGCGCCCTTTTAGTGCCGTTTCTGCTGGTCCTCTGGGATCGAGATCGCCCGCTAACGGGTGAGCGCGCGGACTCCGCACCAGATTGCGCATGGCAGGGGGACGTACGTACGACTGGAACGCACAAGCGTCGCCCAGAGAGAGAGACGAGGCGGAGTGAGATACAGTAGTCTGTCAGTCGGTCTCTGTTGGGAGGCATACAGTGAGCTCGTACTTCGGAAGCTTTTTCAGAATTTGTTGTCGCTGTTGTTGTGCACGCACTGCACGGAGTGCGTGCTGCGGTTGCAGTGTCACATCTCGTGTCCGAGGAGAGGAGTTTTTGAGTCTGGATTTTTCCACGTCATTCGATGTCTGCTGATTCTTCTCGTGTGAACCATGTTGTACCTTGTACACCAACTCTTTGCATTTTTCAGAAAGGACTCGTTTTAATGCACCGTACTCCCACGTTGGGAGGGAGAGCCCTGGAAACGAAACGGCTGATTCTTAAATGCTGCACCTTAGAGCAGTATGTACGATTTCCTTTCGTACTTCGTGGAGTTCCAACAAATTCGCCAATCTATCTTCTCAATTTTAAGAACTCTCCGGATGTAAAATCGCCTTGGCTCGTGGGTATGGCTCTAAGAGTTTTAGTCTTTTAAAACTCTTCTCACTCGATAAATTACCCAAAATATTGAGCATTCAATCATACCACGGGTATAAAATTAAAAATTAAATTAATCCTGTTAGGGGCTAACACATATCGTCACTCTATCATCATGACACTTGCTTAGAAACATAATCACTTGCATGAAAACTAGAAAGTCAGGGAAGGAAGATAGCATTTTCGATGTCACAAGAATTATACTTGTCCTTGGGGTTTTTCACAATATCGGATTACATCTGGTTCACAGTTCGGCAGTTGAGTTTGGAATGCTGATGAGCGCGTCGGGTAGAGGTAAAGCGCCCCCGACATCCAACCTTCGTGTGTGACAAAGAGCATGATGAAAACGAAGTTTGTCCCACCGCGGAGAAAGTGATGTTCGTACTCAACTGCTCCTTGGGTTCTGATCAAGTTCATAATGACTCCGTTGAGACCCAATGTCATACAAGACGAGTGAATGCAAACCACGTGACGTACCTTGGAGTTCACTTCTTTGACTTCGTTTGTTGACGCAAGCGCAAGATTTTTTGTCTTCTGGTCTTGTGTGGTATTTTGAGTACGGTCGCGGAATCTGAATCTTCGAATTGACTAACTTCTGTTTTCTGTAGGGCGGTAATATCGGGATGCATGGACTTCTACGGTGTTCGGATCGTGGTGACTAACTGGCCAAGTGTGCGCAGTAATGTCTCGTGGCATCGTTGCTATTGGAGTTCCCGTTAATGTAAAGTCCCTCTTCGTATTCCTGTTCGTTTGAACTTCTAGTAGCACTCCATCTGACTGATATACATCGTTTACACGGAAGAACTGTTCCTTAAAAACTGCTTGGAAATATCATTTCCTCACAGCTTCCTGGGAAGACATTATGTTCCTTACACATAACAACAGAAATAACTTCACCGAGTGCGGAAATTTCAGAAGAAAATGGTGTGTATGATACAAAATTATGGGCTCCTACAAGACCCCAAATTCTCTTGATCTCTCTCTCTTCGTGTAAAGCTCGATAACTTGCATGTAATTGATTTAAGCCGACCTCAGGGTACTCAAAATTGCATAACATCCAGTTTTCAGGGTCCTAAAAGCAACATCGGAGCTTTTTTCTCCTCTTGTGATTCTGATACACCGGGAGGAGCATTTGAGACTTCCGCGGCATCAGACTCGTCAGCCTCCGAGACCAATAGCCCACTTTCTCTCAGAGGAGAAGGCTCGTTAAAGCACAGCTGCCACAATTCGTCTACAGAACGCCGTTCCTCCTTTGCTGCTGCAAGATCTTCAGCATCATACTTCTTAATCTCTTCTATCCTTTTTGCAAGAATCTGCTTCAGCTGATTGTTACAGTCAGTGACTTCGGCTTGCCCACCAGTCTTACTTATTTCCACTAGTGTCTGCAAGGCCGCCTGTCTGATGCCTCCATCTTCAGTGTTTATCAAAGTAGTAATTACACGAGGCAACCCTAAGCCACCAATCACCTTGCCGTCGCTTGGATACTGAAGTAGGAGATTCATTATGACTTGCAGAGCTTTCCTGGAACCAACGACCACACTCTAGAATTAGCCTCCCCCTAAATGTGACTTTCAAAGGTGAGAGGGAAGTCAGAGCCTAGGTGGGAAATAGGGGACTCCCTACACCTAGCAGACACCTCGCGATGACAGGATCGTGGGATGATCAATTCACAGATGCATTTCGTTGAGCCATACGATCTAGCGAAATTTACATACTCTACTCCCCGCGAGAACTAACACGACTCCATGCCTTGAACTCAATCAAGTGTATAATTAGCTTACCTTTGTAAGCGGACGTGTCCTGATGCAAGGGCATCTCGCAGACCAGCATAGCAGTTCGACAACCTAAAAGAAGTGACTCCAGCCTTGTTATTTGAAATTAGAGCTGCAAACAACAAAAACCCTCGTCTTAGTCATGGCAGGTTTCAGTACTTCGGCTAGCTGTGAGAATATGCAGAGAAAATTACACTCGTGAATTCAGAAGAAACTACTCTCCAATCAATAATAGCTCAATGTTTTATATCTCGTCAAAACCAAAGCAAAACTTGTTGTAATATCTCGAGATGCGACGATTTGAAGATCTAATCAGAATTTTGTTCAATCAGAAGACAAAGTTCCGGTAATATACAAGAAATGGCGCCCAATGCTTTGGCACGAACGTTCATGTCAGAATCCGATGTGAAGTTCTCAAGCAGCATCTCCATTCCCTTTACGTCCATTACTTGTTTCTGGCTTCTCTCATTATTTTGCACAACCGTGGTCACCACTTCTGCAGCTCGTGCCCTAATGCCCGCATCTGAGTGCTTCAGGTAATTCAGCAGCGGAATCAAGCCTCCAATGGCATGCAAATCTGAGTCAAGAAAAAACGGAATTAGAAAAGAAACAGATCAATTCATTGCTCAAGCGACAAAATTTGAATCATCAAATAGCAGAGTAAATTACAAACAACTAGAAAGAAATCGCAGATGCTGGATTAAAATTATATATCACATAAAATCATACCGTTGGCCATGTCGATGGACTCCACATGCTCTTGCAATTCTTCCAGCATTTCTGCACACGAGACACAAACATGAGCAAAAGCTCTATCTTATATTTTGAAAGACAGTCTGCACGGACTTAAAAAGAAGAGAAGCAGCTCAAAAAACTCTTACTTTCAAGCTCTTCAGCAGTAACACCCTGATCATCTAACACTTGCTGCGGCATGTTCATAACCGTCGTTATCTCCTTCATCCTTCGAATGACATCGATTGTTTGATTCTGCATTGCTTCATGAAACCATTTCTTCTCCTCCTCACTGTAAACAACAATCGATTAACTCCCTGACAGCTTGGACGATGGAAACAGCAACGAAATCCTCTCCTCTAGCGAATGTTAAAAAAAGAACTTCCAAGATCGTCATACCTGATTTGCCGAGGGACACCAGTACCATCCGCATGAGCAAGACTCCACTTCAGCAGACCCTGCCAATCAGGCTCGTTTCCTGCCATTGAATCTCTTGAAGAACTCCCGTATAAGATTTGTAACTGTGTAATACGAACTCCCGTTCTACGATTTGTAAAACTGAACCTTTAAAAAATGCTAGATTCGGTTCAGAACGTTGAAGCTGTTGCTAATTTCACCGAACGAGCGAACAAATTAAATGTCAGAACGCATCAAGATGGAGCCACAGCCACCAGCTGTTTCAAAATGCGAAACTACGAGGAGAAATTTGATTTATAGGTGACACGGCATCTCAAGCCTGTGTCGATCAGGATCGAACGAAGAAAATGTAATTGACAAGGAAAGTTTTGTCACGTCGATGTTTCGGGCTTCTTCTGGAACTTCAGAACCCTGTAAACCCGGGGGTCGCATCAATTCTTGTATCTTCAGTTACCTTCACTTTACCTCGACCTACCGAACGAAGGAAGAAAGGGTGAAAACGAACCACGATACTCACCATATTACTCACCACGGTGGGAATAAGAGATACGAGGAGAGATGTTCAATTAGAGGTCTGAGGGTTAGAGGAGGGACGGTCAGAGCGGGTGACGTGACTAAGTTTCACAAACAATGTGACGAGCGTTTTCATATAGTCTAGCGTGAATAGATAATAATAATCTCCTTTCAATTTTGAGTTACAATAAATTTATTGCTGGGGATGATTTTTTAATTTTTTTACATATTAACAGATTATTCTCAAACCTAATGTCCTGAATAATTCCACTAATATATTTAACTGGATTATTTCTTGAAATGATACGGAGGAAAATAAAACATTTACAGCTGTATAGTATGAAATCTATGTATTGGCATTCATACCTATGATGTAGGGTATTATGCACTTGGGTTTTGCACATGATATTAGAGTATTATTTGTCACTATTGGTATCTTTGTGTTTCTTTTTACTTCATTTTGACTGATGGTGCTCCTTGGAGAGTTTAATCTAATGCCATAAATTTCTTTTCTTCATGATTGAAAAACATATACACATGGATATGCACAAAGATACGATACATTTGCCAGAGATGTACAGCAATAGATGACAAAAGATTTTTCTCCTATGCATCACTTAAAAAGCACAATCTTAGGCAAAATAGAGTATACTGCACTACTTTAAATCAATCAATGATTTAAATAGGTTGGTGCATTTACGGATAATCTAATTGAAAATAACTTCATGAGAATAAAACTTTTAATGATTTCCCTACTCCCAGAACCTTTACTTGATCTTTAGTTTTTAAACATCATGATCATCATATTTGTGTTCCCAATAATCTAGAGAGATTTGCTTGATGGGACCCATGCGGAAAGTAATTTGCTTGATGGTACCCTTTAGGTTTAGTTTTACCCGATGGAACCCCAACGACGGTGTGACGTCGGACATAGTTCTTGTAACTACGATTACTATTAGTTACAATGCGGGAATTACAATCAGAGATCAATCATTGATTATAATTTCTGGTGGATTATCACAGGGACAAAGATCGATTTTGCTCGAAGTGCAATTTGTTGTGATTCAATTGTTCCTATCGTAAAAATTCGTGGATTTCTCTGTTGCCTCCCACCTGCACACTCCTTCCGTAACCCTGCGTGGTTCGAGCTCAAGTCTCGCGATCACCCATTTGTGGCGAACAAATAAACTCCGGATGAACATTTCTTTGCTCGTCTCCTTGGAGAGTGGCCGGATACAGAATGATAACATAAAAACAAGTGAGTGTAATGGAGTGCAAAGTCCACTCTGTCTGCGGGTGCGGTGGACTCGTTGCACTCTCTCTAGTTGTTATTAGAACATGGGTGAAGGTGCATCATTCATGGGGTCCCATCGGGTAAAATGAAACCTGAAGTATACCATCAAGCAAATTACTTTCCGCATGTGTACCATCAAGCAAATCTCTCCAATAATCTATGATACCAATTGAAAAACTATTGAACCTCGACGCTTAATGATTTAAGTGCTTAGTACATATCAGATGAACAGAGAAACAAATAATGCTACGATGTGTTTGGAATATCTTAAACATCAAACCTTGCATTATGAACCAAATTTGACTCTACAAGCATGCATCACATATAAGAGCCACACGAATTTAATCTTCAGGTTAGTGGATTGTTGATGTTTATTTCAAAACCGAGTGTAGAAATTTTTTGACCATGTATATTATCACATTTTTGTTAAGTGAAATCCTTCTCCAGCCATACTAGCTATACAGACAAATTATTAAGAGAGAATTTTCAATATACGGGGAGAATTCAATTACAATACAAGTTAGACAAGCAAGCATGATCATTACAATAATGAAAAGGAAACCTAAGCTAAAATGGTAAATGAAATCAGTTACCACTTTAGTTCTTTTATTTTAGCATTTTAACTCTAATAGCAGAGCATTATACCGCAGGTAAAATCCTCTGCTATTAGATGATCAAAATATTTCAGTTGTGGGATAATGTAAAACTCTATATATGAAAGCTGGTATATACCCCCGAGAGTTTTCACACAGCCATGTTCGACTGGGTACCTACGGGACGAACCTCAGGGAGAAACGTCAAAAAAGAAACAACTTAAATTCACTGAACGAAGTCAATCTTGCCATTTTCGAATAATGACTAGAGTGATAAAAGTATTGCTTTGCGAATGGTCGAAATGCATCCAAGCCTAGTGGGCTATACTTCACATGGAACATTGGGGACGTACTTCTTTCCAGCCATTTGATGTTCTGCAACAGCGTCGTGTTCAGATATTTCCGACATAGCACTATCCGGACGTGTGTTACACAGAAAAACACTTGGCTGCCGAAAGCATAGGCAGCCATTTCTTCGGGTCCTCGGCTTGTCCTTCCTTTCAGTATCGGTCGGCTTTTACAGAACTCGAGCAATCGACTGTGACACGCTGATCCAACCATGGCCCTCGTGACAATCGCGAGTACTGTACTGTCTTCATCTCCCTATTCGGTACGTGTTCCTAATTTATCAGCAGATTCAATCACCTCCGCATTCTTGTCGTTACCACATGTTGATTTTGGCTGTGCGCGAAATTCGTATGAATGTGCTCGGTCAATTTAGCTCGAGGTTCAGGAGATGGTTGCGGCTACCTTGTTTCTGCAATTAAACTCCAGGGAATAATTCTTTGAGAAAGAGGACACGAGGTAGCCACGACTGTATTTTACTTCGATTGCTGTGGACCGAAGAGAAAGAAAACGCTGTCGAAGGTTAAGGTTCTAGTTTCAGGAGAATCGAAGTCTTGGTTAAAAATAAGATGGGATCATGCCAATGCGAATGGAGAAGATAGACAATACATTGATCAACTGGACTTCCGTGTTGATTGATATGAGTGAATACGGGCGGTACGAAATTGAGAGCACTAGTCTTGAACCGAGTAGCTATGTTTGATAGTCTTTGTGACTTCTGTAGAGAGTTCAATATTACCGAAATTGGAGACTATGTACCTGCAGAATTCGCCATTCACAAAGCTAGCTTGCACAAATAAATTTTCTCGGAGTTCGATCACCTTAAGCTCAGTGAAACGTCAGCAAACGAGACTCCAATGTACAGCAACATCTTCTCCCCAGCTTGGAAAGGAAACTACTGCTGCTCAGACTGCAACTTCTTGTGATGAAAGTATGTATAGTATCTCTTAATCCTTCTTAATATCTACACATTCAATGACAAAACGACCGAAAACACTGGATGATGAGACAAGTGTCATGTTTTTTACCCCAACATTTCGTCGATACGAGTCTGTTTGCTCGGGGTTTTTATGTCCTATTTGGTTTCTCTCTTAATTACTGGGTATTGCGTTTACTGAGTCGAGTAAGCACTTTTGGGTAGTATGCAGTTATTGTGTAGATTTTGGTAATAAGTCCCAAAGTATGGGCAGAAATGGGCCTTATGTGCCCTTACTCTTCAAATTAGAACTGAAACATACCCAGTCGCCCGTCTTTTACTTGCTTTTTTTGCTTTCAATGTATACTTATTCTCTCCATACATATCTAACAAAATCTCTCGTTTCAACCTCAGAACTGGATTTCGCTGGTATGCATCATGTGGGGCTATTATGCGAGAACCTGGAGCGGTCTCTCGAATTCTACCAAGGAATTCTGGGTATGTTTTAAAAACTCAAGTTTCGGTTTTATAGCTCAGCTGGGCTCTGCCGATATCGTCTATGACAAGGACATAAGTATAGTGTGATGTTCGGTATGCTTGAACTTAATCACCGAACTTTGTTCGGTGATGAAGTTTTTCCAAATGAATTGCTGTCCCCGGTTGTTCTGAGTTTGTCGCATCATCGGTGATCTGACACTCATCATTCTGTTGGTGCCTTGTGCTTAGGTCTTGAGCTCAATCCCGACCGACCGGCGGACAAGCTACCATATAGAGGTGCATGGTTCTGGGTTGGAGCAGAGATGATTCACCTCATGGAGCTGCCAAATCCAGATCCGATTACTGGTCGTCCAGAACATGGTGGAAGGGATAGGCATGCTTGTGTGGCCATCAAGAGCGTGGAGCCACTGAAACGGGCATTCGAGAAAGCAGGTGATTACTGTGCAGTACAGATTATCCTGGAGAAAGAAACTTTGAAAGATATAAGTTTGAAATCCCTAAAGTGCTTCGACGTGTTCTCATATCAGATTTCTTCTTTGGAGATCGCTGCGTCTGTCTTGATTTTGTCCTCAGTTTATGCATTAGTTTTATTTGCTGCTTCTGAATCTAGAGCACCATCACGTAATCGACCTTGTCTATGAGTTCAATCATGTTAACAATATGATAGCGGACAGGACATTGAGATCGTTATAACATTTTGCCTCGGAGCCTTAAGTCAGTTTGAAAGCTTAGATGTCCATGGAGTTCTTACCTTACTATATTGGTGATAAGAGGCGGTGTGCAAACTGTCGTCATTCTGGACACCGGAGTACTTCAAGGCATGAAACGTGGATGTGCTTTCAATGCTAGTTCGATCCATTGGTATGGAACAAGAAACACATCCCACATTCGTCCCCCTTTCCATTAGCCCTCAGCCACAGTTTTCTCCTACGAATCCAGAGAGGTTCAGAAGGGAAACCCCATGACGGAATTTAGCACAGCATGAGCTACACAGATCTAGTTGATAAGGCTCTGATACATGCCTGATACTTTTATGCAATTATGAAGCGAAGATAACTTCCAACTTTTGTGTTTTGTCTACTTTATAGGTCTATAGTTGATTCATGAAGCAGATACCTAGAAATCCTGTGAGGCAAGCTTTATGGGGTACAAGGAAAAATCGTCGTGAGAAAAACGGATTCTTTAACCTAGAGTCACAAACCAGTTTCAGGAGATGACCTACATGGTAGATTGTACATGTCCCGGAAGTATGGACAATTTGACTTTCGCGTTCCATTCTTTCTTCTGAGAGAAATGTCTGCATCATAGACTTAAACCTCCGGCAAGTAGAAAAACTTTATTTTCGGTCTCAAGCTTGATCCTTTTTTTTTGGGATGTCTCTTGAACCGGCCATTTTTCTTTCCAATTACGTCTTTATCTTCGCGACAGACAAATGTATTTCACTTTCTTTGCTTGTTCTTTAGATGTGCTTGTAAAGAGTCGTTGATCCTGTCTGTGGAGGAGTCATTCTCAATTTAACCAGCCTCGCAAGTATCTGTGGATTTCATCAAGGATGATATATGGTCAAGTGTCTTTCATGGTTTTAGGTTCGATCTGAAGTTTCCTTCGTAATTGACCAGAGGGTCCCTGGGTATCTTTTGGTGCAGGAATATCTTTCACACTGAGCAAGTCTGGCAGACCCGCTATTTTTGCGCGTGATCCTGATGGTAATGCTCTTGAATTCACGCAAGTAGGCTAGATAGAGGAAAGAACCCCATCGAATATTCTGATATGCAGTCCCTTTAGAAGAAGTTTGTAATGTGCATTTGCCACACTTGAGATGTAATCTATATTTCTGTACTTATTTGTCTATTCTAATCTAAGTCCGAATTTTATAGACCCCCGAGCCCCCAGTGGCGCTCAGTGGTCCTTCTACCAAATAAATATGAGCACTTTGAAAGCTAGTGTGTCAGTTACCTTCTCCATCTTGTGCTGACGCACATGTGTCTGAGCAAAATTTTGGCGAAAAGGACTCAAATTTTCTGATGTTAGTATCAGGAAGCTACGTGTCCAGGTAGAAAGGTCAAGTTTATATTGCATGTCAGTGTCTAGTGTATGTGAAGCTCGGCAGTACATTTTCAACAACTAAGGCCATACGGTGGCTCGGTGTGAAGTATGGCAACCCGGGCATGTGCTTTCGGAGATGCTGCTGATGTCAGTAGCTGGGAGCAACTGAGCAGTCCTTGGGATCAGCGGAAGCTAGACGAAAGGAATGGGCAGGCACCGGAAGTTTTGTGTGTGCAACTTTGGTCAACATCCATGTTGACAATGTGGCGTGTGGTCTAGGTGATACGAGTCAAGAGGGTCAGCCTAGGCTGATGAGTGAGCAGAGGAAATGGCCTTGTTAGTATGTCACAAAAAAAATAATCATTGAAATACTTCGATTCACTGTACACACGTTGCAGTACAGTTAACCACCAACGTCCACGTACACTATGTTTGTTTTTTGAAACGACGGTTTCATGAACGCACAGTGGCATTGTGGCTTTACCCCTGGTGTGTGACGCCACCGAGATCTCGAGCTGGAAAGTATTTGCCGTCCTGGGCTACTTGTTCTCAGTGTAAACCTTCTTCGTGCTCTGTATACATTCAAAATAAGGAAAATAAACGCGAGGAAATGCATGCTAAAACAAAGTCTATGCTACAGCGCTTCACGACTCGCATTATCGTGCAGAACTCTGTTTAATTCTTGCAGATCGACCTCCTCCTACTGACTCGATGACTGACTCGAACTAAGCTTCGCCCACGACTCTATATCCTCACACTGAGGACATTTTGCCCAGCCTCGTTTTGTCAGCTCCATCGTAAGTGCCAGCACACTATGAAATAGATAAGTCATCATCTAAACACCAAACGAAGCATGTCTCTCTCTATTCAAACAACATTCTTCATCGTATATTTGGCAAGCGTATCTGCTGAAGTAATATCTGCCACCTTCGGTAACGGAGGTACATGATTACGGAGAACGTACGATCTACAAAGTCAGGCCAGAACAAGCAACAACAATGCACTTGAGAAGGCCAAGGAGACCTGCTGTGTCGAACTGTCGCTGCTAATTCGCACATGTTGAAACTATTCGTCAGCAGGTCAAGAGTCTACACGAGTTTACAGCAGACAATCACAACGTTTCTTTTAAAAAAAATATGAGAGTCATACCTGAAAGAAGATCTACTCGTCATAGATATTCTGCCAGTGGCCTGCTACGTTGATCTAGAAATTTCCATAATTTACTGCGGAAAATGTGATAAGAAATGTACGCATTTTAAACTACTGTCATTGTCAGGACCGTAGGCACACCTGGATCTCCTAGCCAGAGGTTCTTCTAGTTCACCGACTGATGACCGACTGACTAAGGTGTTGATAGATATATGGGCCAGCTATTCACGGAGAAAAGTGGCTTCAGCTTTTCTATTTCTCGCTATTGAATGTCACTGCAGTGTTTAGTTGAGCCTAGCCCCATCTACCCTGTTGGTTTCATCCTGTACGACTTGATGGGGCTTCCCTTCCCTTTCGCTATCTTACTACTTCTTTCTAAATAAAAAAAAACCGGATGAGTTGAGCACATGTATACAACTAGCAGCGGAGATAGGATCGCCGTCACTTTTGGTGGAGCCCACTAATCAGTAGACGGCTCTGCCATAATAGTATATGTTTACCACGACTCATTTGACATTTTCCCTCCAAGATCCATTCATATTCTAGCTGGAACAATACGGTTACAACGCATATGCTCTTGGATGGACTCTCATCACTGGTCCACAAGAGATGGTGGGCGTAATATAGGAAAAGGATGGTAACATTACACAAAGTCCAACTTCTAACAAGCGGCTAGTTTTCAATAGAACCACAATGAGAAATACATTTGTTAAGATGAAATAATTAAATGAATCTAGGTTAAGTTTTCTACAAAGTACTAAAAGAACATGCAATCATATTCATAGTACTATCTAGTGATGTTTGCATAGATATAAAATTGTTGTTGATTACAATCTACATGATAAACTTCACTTTTATTATTTTTTGCACATCAAAAATTAAGATGTAGAAAGATTGAAATGATGCAAAGAAATAGCTCACACCCATTATTTAATTATATGTGACTAGTAGCATAGCTGTCATTCATATTTGAGCCAAAATATATGAGAATAACATATAGGCAAATATCATACATTGTTTAAATTCTTAGGAGTTAATGCAAGTCTTAATTAGCTCTAGTTGTTTGACAATGAGAGCTAGTGCTATAGAAGAAAATTGGCACTAGCTCTCTACAACACAAAGTAGAGTACTCTATGTGCTCTATGGATGCAATCTCATTAAGATGAACCAACTAGTCTTTTGCAAATATTTGGAAAAGAATGGTTGCTACTTTGTAGTTTCATTCGACAATGAACATTGAACCGATTTATTATTGTCACCTGGAAATACAAGATTGGAAATGAAGCCTAATCATATATGGCTTATGCATATAGAATCCAATTCTACTTAATAAATTTCAATATAAATATAGAATCACCTCACATCATTATTATTAAAAATTGTGAAATGTAATGATGTGAATACAATATCTAAAATAAAGTTCATACTTATTCCCAAAAAAATATACTTAATGTGAAGTATGAAAAAAAAATTGTGTAACAAAAATGATGCACCTCTTTATTCTTATTTCCAATAGTAACCTTTATTTTGAAATTACCAAAAAATAATCTTTCAGAAAAAACGAATATAAATAAAAAGAAGATTGAACACACATTTCATGTTTAGAAAAATAGGTTTGAACAAATATTAAAGATCCTAAAAAAACTATATGTTCGGCAAATTTTTTCTTGCCTCTCCAAATAAAAGTCTGAAATTTTTCCTAGATGATTTCTAATCTGTTTAATCATTTGAGAAAATGAATTTAGAACACAGATTTATTTCAAAAAAATTGAAACTTTAAGTATTTTCAATAATCTAAATATGTATCACTATGCATATATGGTATGGTATATACTATGGTATATGATCATCAATATATCATGATACTCATATGCAATAAAGAAATAAACTGAATTTAAATTTCAAATGTTCAAAATCGTTATACAATAAAGTTTTAATAATAACTAAATTAGACTTAAAGTATGTTTTACAAGTGTTTTGTTTCCATACTAAAATAAAGTTGAAAATTTTACTGCATCAAATAATATCTTCACCATAATGTGGGTTTAGCTAAAACACCTCATTTAAAATTATTACCCAAATGATAAAATATAATGATAGTTCTTACAACCAAATTAATTAAGATAAAAATTTGGATCTACAATTTAATTTACTTTTCTCATTTTCAATGGAAATATATTAATTTTAGAAAGAATTAGGTACCTTTAGGTTATAGGCATTCTAAGGAGAGCCGGGACACGAGGGCAGGCGCTAAGAAAGGAGATAAAAATCAAATATCAAACAATTTTTTAATTGTTTTTTCATGATTAGTATAAAACCAATTGTAAAAAACATATATGACATGAATTATTTTCAGTTATAACTTCAAGGAAAAGTAGTAATCTGTAATTTTAATCATTTTTTATGAGTAATGTTATTAATAAAAGTGTAACTTGATGATAACCATATTTTTTTGAAGTGATATTCATTTATTTGGTGTGTCATTATGTATAACAATTAAATGATTCAACGTATATTTTGTGACTATTACATAATATTAGGTGTAAAGTAAGAGTATTGGTCACAAAATCTAGTCTCCAATTATCTTTCAGTTTGTAAGTTATGGATTGATTTTGGTTTTGAAAATGATATTTTCAAATATATGGAATCATTTTGTGGATAGATTTTCATATCAAATAGTATATAGCTATAAATGAATTAACTTTTAAGAATATCATGAACTCTTTACTAGTTAGATGAATTTCTTCTACTCCTTATCTAAAACATAGTTGTTAAATCTTACACATGAATTTTGATATTCCATTATTAAATTTTAATTTTGTATACTTCTAGAAGAAAGTATTTATTTATTTTTTAATGAAAGTGAATTTTGAGAAAAAAATTCAAATATTTCAAATTTCAGGATATATAAAATTAGATTAAAAAATCATTTAAAATAAGTATTAATCCTTTTAAGTAATAAACTAATAATATATATAGTTGAAAGTTTATTTCTTTTTACATGAAGAGCAGGATTCTTTGCTAAAGTAAGATTTGAAATGATTATTTTCATCTCTTGATGAGGGTATTTGTATTTAAGTTATAATTCTCAAATGATATGTTTGATCTTTTCATGGGAGGGGCTAGTTATACCTCATCCTAGTTTACGGCCCGACCATATTTTGTCCAAGGTCATAGATGACAGTGGATTTAGTTTATGGCTCCTCTAACATGGCTGTACTACTCAAACTACGATGGTCACTATCCCCGTCGTGGACGACCCGCAACCCGCACGCACCTTGAATTCTCTCACCTGGACTCGATTCGTCGTATTGCTGGTCTGATCTGTCCGAATGTTTGCAGCTGGCCTGAATGTGGATCACGGCAATGTGGTGGGCTAGCCTGACGGCACCAGGGCGAGGCAGGGATGGATGTGTGAGCCAACGGAGTTGAGGAGGGAGGGAGAGAGAAGGCCAAAGTAGGAAGGAAGGAACAGGAGCGAGGCCTTCGGTACTTATCAGGACGAAACATCTACTTGGAAGATAAAGGTTGACCAAGGATAGAGCGAAAGCCGAACCTCCGACCGGAGAGCTTGTGGATCGATTCACTCACTCATTCAATCAGCTGCAGCAGCCAGCAGGAAGGGCAAACATTTACTTCGCGGTTACATATTTCAGAACTTATCACGGTGCACATCGGGAGCTGTCAGAAGGCCCCACTGCGATTGCAACTAGCGACCTTTGCGCCTGCTCGATGATCTGAGCTGAATATCATGTGAAGCCGAATTGTGCACATCAATTTAGTTAGTCAGCACCTTATTCCTCCTTCCTACTTCGCCCCTCTACCCCAGTCAACTCCTTTGGCTCACACATCCATCCCCTACTCCGCCCCACTGCTGTCAGGCCAGCCCACCACATTGTTGCAATCCACATTCAGGCCAGCCGCATCAGCAAGCATTCAGTCAGATCAGACCAGCAGGAGAACGAGTCGAGCACAGTTGAGTTGCTGCGAGGTCACCTCAAGCCCTTGCAGCCCCGAAGTGCAAGCGGGTTGCGGGCCGTCCACAACAGCGGGTTACAGTGTCCACTGTAGTTTGTTTGTGAGGAGTCCAGCCATGTTAGAAGATCCATAAACTGAATTCAAGGGCATCTGTAACCATGGATCAATCCTGGTATATCGTATACTAGGATGAGTGATGATTAGCCCAAAGTGATAGATAACTAGCCCCTTCATTTTTTCATGGATTGTAAAATATGTAAACGTAGTTGTACATTCGAAGAGATATCATAGTGTGTAACTTATCATAAAATTAGAATATATTCGCCGCATTTACAAGAATTTTATGAAAATTTTTTGGTCTTGAAAACAACTACATAAAATTAAAAGAAAATAAAAATTATGAGGTTACTAAAGTGAATTAAATATTTTATTTTTTTACGAAAGTTTAATACTTATTTCAAGATATAGTCTTTGGTCAAAATTCATATAATATGCATAGAATTTGCAGACTTCATCTTTCAAAATATTTTTTGAAAAAATAATAGTTACTTAGAAAATATATATGCTTCTTTTGAATATATTGAAAATTTAACAACCGACTGCAAAAATGAAAATGAACCCTCAAACGCATATTTAGCTCAAGCATATTCTCTTTTGCAAGTAATCGTGTCTAATTTAATTATTTGAGGAAATCATCGATATCACATGGTTGGCTAAAGACATTGACACTTTATTTATAGATAATATGCAAGTATAGTTGTCGTCACTGAGTAAGTTTGGAACTTTCAATTATAGTTGTAATGGTCTATACAAGTATAATATATATTCTGAAGTTAATACATAATCTCATGAATATTATACCCATAACCGAAAATATCGGGAGGAGAAATCAACTGACGTACAATTAAAAACAAAGAAAATTGCGAAATTCGGTCTTCACTCGAATCAAGGCAGAATTGACGAGAGAAGCCACAATACACGCTCGATGCAATACTTGTCGACATTGCCGGCACTGTACAAAAGAGGCGTGGTTGAAATTCTTCCGGCATGAAGTTTCCATGAAGCTAAGCACACGTTCTGCATCTTCGACGAGGAAGAAAGTCAGAAATCGGTGGCCGAAAAATCCACCATACCAGTAAGAAGCTTTGGAGGACATCTTATTAAATTGAATGAAAGCGAACATGTGGTTCCCAGAATAGTCCGAACTTTTAGGCCTCAGGGTCCTCATATTCCCCACCTCAGCTTCCCGGGTCGAAAACGGGGAAGCTGGAGGCAAGATAGTAATTGAATTTGTGCTATATATGGATCGCCGAGCTTTATCCAACTCATTCCGGTAAGCATAGTGTTGGGGAGAGCTGTCTTATCGCATGTATCTAAACCCGTGCCAAGGACTTACTCAAGTTAAGCGACCGTGGGTGGACTCTGCGGAGCTCGGGGCTTATTCTGAACTACGCTCGCGAATTTGCCGCCTCTGGTAAGTTCCGCACAGATGACGCTCGTATGGAGCTCGGCCCGTCGACGCGAGAAAAACAGGACTATCAATGTGGTCTAATTTTGCCGAAGAGCGTGATCGCCAATCCTTCCAAAATTAGGATTTCCTCTCGCTTCCGAGCTTCCAAGTGGATGGAACCCGAGGGGCCGATCGAGGAAAGGCGACAAACGGAACACGATGGTGGCATTTCGACCAGCGCATCCCGAGCGCGGCCAATCGACATCGGTGTGAGAGTGAATGTGTTGTTGATTTGTGGATGTGGTGGCTGAGGGACAGCCGAAATTTGCCCGTGACTGGGGAGGTGTCTCTGCCGAGATCCAACGGCGTGGCCTGACAACTCCGCTCTGGAGTGTCCATGTTTTGGCCCGTTCTGTGATCCGGGCGCGTATCGGTTTTAGAAACAATTAGTGGACGGGAAATATTCAAAGCCGCACGAAATCTGCACGGAGATCTCGAGAATTCGGGGAGCTCGGATATTTTACTTCGGTTTACCGCGATTGACAAATTCCTTCGTTCCAAGTCATTTTCGCTGCCTAACCGAGCACTGTTTCCGTCAAATGACAAACATTCTTGTCCTCCCGCTTGAATGCATTTTGCAGACTGTTGACAAGGTCCCCATAGACACGATCTTAATTTGTCTAGGAATACAAGCCTCGGTTCGGCAGTTACTTTGCTTCACAATAAAACTTGTGTTGACCACCTCTTGGGGGTGTACGTGGTAATTAAGCTTCGGAGCAACCTTTCCATGTCTATCTCGAACCCAGGCGTAGTAGTATGACTAGCTTCTCGGTGATGTGTACCAACCTCTTGGGCGGTGTGCAGCGTACTGCTAGGCGGTCTGAATAATGTCTGAATAATGTCTCGTCGTAGCTGCGCTGAAGCGAAGGTCACCTTCACACGCCAACTTCATAAGTCAACAACATGCTATGCTCGATGCCTTCCAGCTTTCTTGGATTTGGCCAGCCAGGTGGGTGTTTCGGGCCTTGCAGATGTTGGTTCTGCAAGTGGATTTGCGCCGATTTCGAGCTTTGGCGGGATTCGTGAGGGAATCTTCCCCCTGACATCGACATAAGTGGGTCCAAATCCTAGGCTGTAATTCCTTCCAGGTCGAGTTAATCATGACATCGGCTGCCACTTTCGAGCCTTAAAATCACCATTACAATATTCAATTTTAAACTCTCCCTTCTTAAAGGGCCTCACCTTCGCCGACGAGGCTTCCTCAAGAACCCTTCTCACAGGACTTCGTCGCGAGAAGAAGAGCCTCCAGTCGCTTTGTTGCCCTTGGCTCATCATGCTCTTCATCTCATCAGACAACAAATCAAGCGTTAGAAAGTTAGGACCAATCAAATCCTCCGTGCTCCGGTCTATCTTCCTTCTCATGACTACGAGAGGGATGAAAAGCGCGAGGAAGTCCAGCGTGAGCGTCGACGAGCCTTTCTTGACAAGGTTAATGTTGATCGTCAATCGGGGCAATCGGTCATGCCAGAGACGTAAGCCCGACAAAGATGAAGCTGCTGCCTGGAAGCTGCGTTGCGATTTACTTGGGTTTGTACTAAAGTTGTCTGCGTGTATGGGGCTCGAGAGGGAGGCAGACGAAGATTCTCCTCCGGTATATATGACGAGGTACCACGAGCCTCGCGCAGAGGTCGAGTCACACACTGCGCCGAAATGCAGTCAAAGAGGGCCTCGTCGTTTACCTCGGCGATAAGCGTGACGTGGTTGGTCGCAGTCTCGAATTCCACGTCTCTCGTAATCACCAGGTGGACGGAAACCCGGCCTCACCTGCGCCTCGGATCGTTTGCCTCGGAACTCTCCTTCCGGCCTCGGGCCGCAAATGCTCAAACGCAGATTGAAGACGCGACGATCGCACAGCTGGAACTTCGAGAGACGGCGTGGCAGCTCGGCAGGTGTCTTCTCTACGACGATCGATGCACCACCGCCTTTCCGCATCACGCATGCCAGCGACGAACGGACGGAAGGCAGGAAGGAAGGAAGGAACGAACGAGAGCGGAAATCGTAACGAGCTTCGGGCCAAGAACCGAAAGGCTCCGCCGGGCCAAGCTTCTCACACGGCCCGCTCGCCCGACGGGAGCGCGCGTCTGGGAGGAGCGTCGATCAACGGACGGCCGCTCCGGCAGCGCGGACACCGAAGGAAGTTTGACCCGGAGACGCTCGTCGTCCGTGCGGGCGGGCAGACAGGCGGGCACGGGGCAGCGCCTGGAGCGCGGGAGAGCGAGCCCCGAGGGACAGTGGACTCGAGGAGGAGAGGAGAGCCGAGAGGCGCGAGGCGGGCGGGGAAAGGGGGAGGGGGAGGGGGAGGGAGAGATGAGTAAGTTACCGAGCGCGGAGGAGGAGTGCAACAGCCCAGTCCCCTCGGAGGTGGCAGTTGCTAAATGGGCGCGGGCCGACCGGCTGCCGGCCGGACCCGGTCACCGGCTGCGGGCGGGGGCGAGCTGGCTGGTCTTGCCATGGCAGAGGCAGAGGCCGAGAGATGAAGGTTTGCTGTTTGTTCCTCTACTGGCGAGCAAGCGAGCGAGGGGAGGAGAGAGGGAGGGAGGAAGGGAGGGAGGCAGGCAAGCAGAGAGGCAGACAGACAGGCAGGCAGGCAGACATGAGCGAAGAAAAGGAGGAGGAGGAGGAGCGCAGGGGAAGCTGAAGGGAAGCGCAGCGCCAGGAAGAGCTTTTCTTTGCCGCTGCTCCGTTGCGTTAGTGCTGCTGCTGCTGCCCCGGGAAGGACGAAGTGGAAGCTTCTTCTTCTTCTTCTTCTTCTTCTTGTGCTGGCTGGGCGAGAGGCGGAGGAGGTGGTGCAGGAGGGAGGGAGGGCAGTGCGCTGCCTGGCTGGAGAAGTCGAGGCGAGGCCGAATCGAACCCCCCTGGGGATTACGGTGCTTATTCATGGCCTCGCAGCGCCGGAGGTCGGGGATTGAGATGACAGGCGTGTAGAACAGGTGATTGATTAGCTCTCCGGCGATGGGTTTTTTTCATGTGTTCGGTGCGCCTCGAGCCTCTTTAGGGTAGGCAATCCGCGCTGGGGTAGCGCTAGAGTCGCCGGCGAGAGGGTTGGGTGGTGGTTGGTTGAGATGTTTCCCGGACTGGAACGATAACCAACGATCGATTGATCGGCGAGAGCGACGCTAGGCCAGGGCTCGAGAGGAAAGGCAAGGTATTATTTACTTGTGGTTGGATACGTTGCAGACCGCAGACGGAGCTTGAAAATACTTGAGTTTCTGTGTATCCTGTTTGGGGAAAGACGGGCGAAACCGGCTGGGTAGGCACGTGAGGTGTGACCGCTCACCTCATTTGGGAGGCAGCGTCCGGGTCTGCGAGAATTTCAGATCCAGGGGCGGTTACGGTTTTGTGAATTTGTTTAGATTCTTTCTGTGTGATTTGCGGTCAGCTCTTGGAATAGTAGAGCTTGCGCTTAGAATTTCGAGGCCTCTCGTCCTATCGGTCGCTGGCAGGATTCGGTTTCAAGCTGGGTGTGGTTCTCATATCTGAGTGCACCGCCTCGGTTAGTTGTGAAAGACCTACCGCAGCCTCCCACTCTTGAAGAGGAATTGGACCAACCTGGCACCAGATCTTCGTTCCGTCATTGTTCTTGGCTGCACAACCGCTGATTCCTGCGAGGATTCGGGATCTGTGACGGAGTATAGCCGCCTGATCATCCTGGGTTCTTCACGGTTTCTCGAAGACTAGAGTCTGCAAAAGGGCACGATGTATTCGTGAGCAATGTCCTTCTCTGGGGATAAACTTGAATGTCTTTCAAGGCTGAAAGTGTCGACACTTACAGCAGTAGGAGATAGGTTCCTGCCGAGGGACCAAAGATTCTCGCCAGGACCAAAGATTCTCGCCAAGAGATTCGGTGAGTCGGGCTTTGCCGCAAGCGGATTAGTTTGTACGACGTCTGGGAGCTCGCCTTACACTCAAACCAGTCAACTCCACTGATCAATACTGTCTCTACTGTCCCTACCGCCGAGCGGTCACCTCTGGTCATCGTGGCTATTGCTAACCGTTTAGTGAGACAAGGCTGTTCAGATACTTCACTGAAATCTTCCCGGACAGGTGCATGTACTAAGCGAAGGTTGCGAGAGCGCTTGTAGACATAGTGTGGACATAGAGCGAGTAATTACGCATTTCGGTTGCTAACCTTCCTGGACATTTTGTTGCTGTGCTCGCAGGAGTGGAACTTTGACTCTAAATATCGGGGTTCCACAGCCATTCCCAGTTGGAGCTTTTGGAGCGAAAGGAAAGTAACAGCTGAAGCAGTTTAGACTGTTGGAAGCCGTTCAGAGCTAGATATGCACACTAGGAACAGAGGATGGTTGCTTTAGTGGATTCTTTGATAATGGGAATTTGTACGGTGGACCTGAGGTGAACAAGTGTCTTGCACTTTGTTCCCTCTTCCTCTGGCTGGCGATTTGCATCAGGAGCCGAATTCACCTTGTATAGGGCAAACAGGAGTAAATCTTGTGTACAGATCACGCTACCGTGAATCTCAAGCAGTTGGTGCTTACCCACTCATAGTAATAAGTGGAACTGAGGAACATGGCGGGGGAGGATTTAGTGGAGCTTAAGTTTCGTCTTTATGATGGCACAGACATAGGTCCCAACAAATATGCCCCCGCCACCACCGTCTCCACTCTGAAAGAGAGCATTCTCGCTCAATGGCCTTCAGGTAATACAACCAATCTTTCTCCATCATTAATGTTTTGCCAAGATAAATTATACAGACCAGTGCATCACAAGAAAACGTGGATTATGCACGTTCCCGTCAAGCCTGAAAGTATCAAGCCAGCGACTCATGTATACTTCCATAGATATGTATCTTGCAGGTGTTGAGTACCTCCGTTCATGGTGGATCATGTGGAGTTGACGCTCTGTTCTGTTGTGCTATCTGTTGCTTCGTGATTTTGATATGGATGGTGAAGATAGGTAGAATTGGTGGAGTTCACTGACGCCCCATCCTTGTCTCACTATACATATGGCCTCACTCTCTCCGTGAGAATTAGAAGAAATGTAGCAAAACAAAATACCGAAGAAAGACATAGTGAACAGAAAAAAATATAGTGAAACAACCACAGGCGCGGCTTGTTAGTTAACGCAACGTAGGTGTTTCATACCTTCGTGTTTCAATTGCGATGAAAGATCGAAACGATTATGCAAGGACTGATACGGCTGGATCCTTCGAAGTACAGCTGTCAATCCTTGGGTAGTAGTGGTCCATTCCAAGCCAATACTTGCATTATCTTGATTCAAGAGCAATACGGTTATTGGAGGTTTTCTTCCGTGGAATCTCAACTTATCTCAAGGCTCCTGATGATAAGGTGTGTTTCAACGGAAGAAATCCTCCAATCAACAGTTCTTTATTTGGTCTTGCCGAGGAGTGATTACGTGCAGGCACATAAAATATTTATTGTATTTGTTAGTTGCTATGTATGCTTTGAATATCACTCATATTGTGAGGTTACGTCTAGTGATTCCTTCCATTTCAGTTCACCTCTCTGTCTTTAGTTTTTTTCTTCAAATCCAGCTACTTCTATTTTGATGTTGATCATTCGTATTTGATGATGGCTACATCTTCATGTACGCCGATTTTGGATGTAACCCACCCTTTGTAGGAGCTGAGAATGTCCCTACCTGCCGATTGACATTATTGCCTCGACTTACAACTTAAGTGAGATTTAAAGCTCCTGTGACTTCCCGTCTTCATGTTTGAACGAGATGTAATCCGATGGTGAATTGAAATAACTTCATGGCAAAGTTTGCACGAAATAATATGTTGATTTGAATTTCAGATATGATCAATTCTAGCATGTTCTCGCTAAGATTGGACAGGACTAGAGTACATCGGCCACTTAAACTTGTGTTACTGGAATGTGTCTTTCATTCTCTCAAAGTCTAACTATGTGTGGTGAATTATTTATACAAAGCGCCTCAAGCAAAATAAAATCTTGTTATTGTTCAAGCCCGAGCGAGGTAGTACTGATTTCTCTCGCTGCTAGCTTTGTACTTCAACAATGAGTACAAAGTTCAAATCAGTTCTGTAATTTTTAGGTGTTCTCTGCAGACACCTAAGATTTGAGGTTTTTATTGTTGACAAGCGGCCTATGTTAGCCCAAGAAATCTTCATTTCATCATCTTGTATCTCTTCCAAGCGATAAGTTTTCCAAAGAACTCCTACACTGTATCGGGACTAGGGTTGTGAGGATATCGAAAGAAGGGATGGATACAGTCTGAGAATGATGGCACCGTCTTTCTTAATTTTTCTCACAAAGTTAGTTCGAGGCTTTTGCTGCTCAGTAAATTGATCGATCCAGCTTTTGATGTGTAGTATTTTAGAAAACCACCTGTCTGATGTGCGCAATGAAACCGCTTTGTATTGAGATGAATCGCCTCATCATGTGGTGTTTCTAGATCAATTATATGCAAGTTCCTATCAAGGATCGATAGGATCTACCCGGGTAGCGCTTTGACTCTTCTGGCGCGGCAAAGGAGCTAACTGCTGAGTTTCTTACTTTCAACGTGTACGATTTTTGATGATGCGGATAAAACTAAAAATGTGATGGATTGTCCTGCTTCAAGCTTGATTCACGACCGTCCGATCATTGGCGTCGTTGGTTTCACTTTGGCACTCGTTTCACTCAGTTTAGGAGTTGAAGCTTACAATACTACTTCAGTGTACTGCGAGACCTTCTACCGTGGCAAGCGCTTCTAAGTACATACCATGTCATGTTTGTATATATTATTTAGCGGGTCAGTGAAGGCATTTTAAGGAGAAATGATTGCTCTTGTGAATTAAAAGTTCAATTTCAGAGATATTGGAAGGTCATCTGTAAGAATTATTCTGAATAATAATGAGAGAGACAGTGATTAAGAATTTGAATATTGAAAGCTAATTTTTCTCTTCACGTTATTACCCGTTTTAACCTTATGCTTCTATTGTCACAAGTACTTGCACGCGGTCTTTTGATGCGTTCATAGACAGGCCTCATAGGAATCATGTCGTGTTTGATGGATTACTGAATGTGTCTGTCATGGAATTGTAACGAGGAATAATTGCATTGTTGAAGTAGAAAGTTTATGGTCGGAAATATTGGAGGTGATATGGTAAAATGATTTGGTTCATTTTAAATGGCGATATAGTGATAAAGAAGTCAAAGATCAATGGGAACCATTTCCCTTACGTTCTTACCCGTTATAACATTATGCTTTAACTTTCATTCAATTCAAAATTTAATGACACATTGCGTCACACTAGGCTCCTTCCTTCGTGCTTACCGTGTTATAAACTAACAAGTGCTCAGATTTAGAGGGTCTTCCCATGGTGTATTTCTTGCCTTCTTTCGTGCTTACTCTGTATTCTGTGAAATAACAAACGCTCACACCAAGAGGGTTTTTCCCTCCGTGTTTTTTTAACCTTTTTTTGTGCTTACCTTTTATCCCCGAAATAACATCTCACTCCAATAGGCTTCCTCCCTTCCGTTCGTGCTTACCGTATAAACTATGGTGTAACAATTGCTTAGAATAATAGGCTTGTGCTCTTCTTCTGTCTTCATCCCTTCCCTTCTTGCTCACCCGGTAATCTTCGATCTAACGATTGGTCGCAAGATTTACCTTAACAATACCGTCAGTTTTGCTGTAATTTATAGACTACAAGGGAATAGGTTAAGAAAGGTACTTGGACTTCTCAACTGAAGTTGTATGATGAAGCACATTGGTTCTCTTACTGGAGTTATTCGCCTACAATGTATCAGATGAGCAATATAAATACTACTTGGTATGAAGTTTTAGTCGAGAGGCTGAGTTTGAGACTGTCTGTAAGTCATTCTTGGTCAATCTGAATTGATTGTTCGATTAGCGATTCCAGTGCCTAGCTTGATGATCTCATAGTCACGCTTGAATGATCCAATGGCAAAGAGTAGAACACTTATATTCTGTCTGCAATCAAACTTGCAAGACATTATTGTTAATGAACTTCAAATTTGAAGTCTTCACATCGGGGCTAGAGATTCAGGAACACGACGAAACCTTTCTTCGATATTGTATTGTCATTGTATTGCATTGTTAATCTAGCTGGAGCTGCACATGGTTGAAGTGCGTGGCTGGTTGTGACATTAGTTGGTGTTAACTGTCAGTTTGATGTCATCGATATTCATGTAGGAATTTTGGGTACTCTTGGTTCTTCTTTGAGCCTCAGAGTTGTAACATATATAAATTTTAGTTGTTTAGTCTGTTTGATTTACGTGTGCATTTCTTTGCGTTATATTATCTCGCGGTCACGGGACAACTATTTGCTTTTTTCTAAAAGTAAACTTCTTGGTGCTATTTTATTCGAAATCTTCGTCACCGAGTAATCGGTTCTTCGGGCGGTTAGTTAATTGATTCTTATTACTGCCTTCTTTAGCACTGCATTTTTACGTTCTGAATTCTTGATTGCTAGACTGTTCCAATGCGATAACGGGAAATTTGAGAGCCCGTGGTTTTACCTCCGGGGTTTGTGCTTTTCGGTCTCCAAGCGTGTGATGCGTGTTGTTTTCATGGTTTATAATCGTTGAAACAAGAATAAACAAAAGCGTCCCTCTTCGTATCAGACAGAACAAAGTTTGTCCATGTCCATGCAAATATAATGAATGCTTTTAGCTTACAACACTTTAACTAGTGTTATCTATCACAAATTTCTGGGATTTTCTTCCATCCAACGTCCGTGTGCGGTGCTATATTTTTCTTTTCCAGAACCTTATGTGAATCCCTCAGCCAGTAGATTTCCTGCTTACAGCAATTTCATTCTCTACCCATTTTCTTGTGGGACGGTTCCTCAATATATTGGTTTATTTGGTGGGCTTACCACATGATTCAATCTCGAGGTTTTCTTCCCTTCTGGGATAGCATATTTCTCCTCGCCTCCTTCCTCAGTTACCATATCTTTTCATCCATCACATCCACCAGTTACTGGTTATGTAAATCTTGTTAGGGATCACCTTTTCAGAATAGAGATCACCTTTGATCTCTATTCTCCTACAGTCTTTTTGAACAATCGCTGTCTGTCGAGGAGTTGAAGTAGGAGAAAAGGTCTAGTTGTTTTTGCGCGAGAAACCGCTGCCTTTTCTCCTTATGCAGTATATCTTGGAACTTTGAAATCAAATTCATATTGGTAATTGATAGCTAATGGTTTTCATTATCTTTGCGCAGAGAAAGAAAATGGTCCAAAAACAATAAACGATATGAAGTTAATTAATGCTGGGAAAGTGCTGGAGAATAACAAGACTCTTGCCGAATCAAGAGTACCGGTTGGCGAGCTGCCGGGTGGGGTTATAACGATGCATGTGGTTGTGCGACCCCCTTCTTCGGATAAAGCTAGTGGTAAGCCTGCTAAGTTAGGAACACGAAGATGTTCTGTGCGTTTTAGTTGTATAGTCTGGCTAAGTGTGACATCTATATAGGTTACATCTTAAGTGGTTTAGTTGGAGTGATAGATTCTTACTGAACCCCATTGTGGAGGGTTGATGTATGCGTTAACACTAGTTCCCAGTGGAGGGTCGAGCTGTGACAGTAGCGATGATAACTGCGCGGATCTTGTTGGACGTGATTATTATCTTATCACCTATGCAGGATAGTGGGCTGGTGGATGGGAATTAAAATTTTGGTTGGTCAAGTGATTTTGATGCAGACAGAATACGGGACGTGTTACTGAATGTCGGGTTTGATTGGCTTTGTGAATGTCTGCTCATAGATGGCTCGGTATACTTGTGCCTGATGATTCGCTACTGCCCCTTGCTTTCGATGTCTGTGTTGTGAAGCAGAAAAGCAGCCATCGGACTCACCGAAGAGTAACAAATGTGCATGCACTATTCTCTAGCTCTGTAATTCTGCAACCGTCACCATCACAAAATGGATGGAAGTGATAAAAGGCTTGTCTATCAGCAACAGCAAACATCATTGATGCCATCCTTGTTAAGCAGGGCTTCAAGTGGAAGATGTTACCCAGCATTCCTTCAAGGGCTGGGTGGGTCTGTTAGTTTATTTGTTTTAAATCTTCTAGAGAGCAATTCATTCTTGGTAAAAGAGGAACTAGAACTGCAATGGATTTAACAGGCAGATCTTGGGGTGCAAGCAATCGGCTCAGAGCAGAGTTCAAATGCCAAAAAGTTGCTGAGAGGGTGATTGTCTGGACCTTTTAGGGGTCATTTATGTGGACACTTGTGAGGAGGCCCCGTTCTAAAGAGCCCCTCCCGGGTTTTTCGGCACTAACGTGCCTGCAGTGGGATGGCGTCCACATTTAAGGAGGTTTGACCAACAATCTAACCTTCACTTGCCCATTACTTCCCTCCGATGATCTACCTACACTTCTGTCATCGAGAATCAGGTGGAATGATTCATTATATGGTTTCTTTGTCTGGATATGGAAAGGCAATGTGTATTTAAATGTCTTCCATCATTAAGTCCGATGTAGGAGGATGTATGTGTGTATTGTAAGGGCAGAGTCCCACGGTTGCTTGAAAGGTTGCCAGGCTAGGCTTCATAGCTGGTGTTAAAGGTCTTGGTATAATCTATGGCCTGCAGGAATTATGAGTAGAACAGGAAAGGGTTTTCATAGGTGTTAGAAATTACAGACGCATCATTGGTTTATACCTGCAAATTTTACGCAGATCTCTAATTGTTGTCTTTAGTGGAGTACATGATTATAATTGTTGATCACGCCGAGTAAAGCTCCCGTTGTGCCAGTCCAGCGCATGATGTCGTATTTTTTTCTGGGTGATGGCAAATGCATGTGGTAGAGTACCCGAGAGTGTATCATGGTTACTTGTGTGATCATATCCAAGCCTTTTCTGGCTATGTGTTCGGGCTGAGATTCTGACACAGGCGTTTCATTACCCTGCGGTCATGACAGGTATGTGGATGCCTTTCGTGTGCATATCGCGTTCTGATCACGTAAGTACGGATGAGACGATTTTATGCCTGGCACTGACAGGTCGTGCATATTGTGTACTTTATATTTTACTGGAATTCAATAAAAACGCTTGGTCCTTTATGTGCATATTTTTTTAATGGATGTTGAAGGCGTAATCTGGATATCTCGGGTTGAATGTACAAATAAGTCATATTCATAGGTGTGATGTGTAGGCTGCTAACGGACTCGGGCATTCATCTGAAGTGGCTGTGCTCGTTACTCGCACAAAAGGGCCGAAACGAGCTACTTGAGATAAATATGGGGCTGTCCTGTGCCTTAATAGTTGTTCTCTGGTGTTATATATGCTGTGAGCTGTGGAGAGAGAAGTTCATAAAATCTGACACCAAATCGTGCAAATGATTCAGTGATTCACATTGAGCGTTTTTTCAAACGTTAATCACATGTTTCCTCCGACTGTTTAGGGCAAAGTCGATTTGAATAGTGCTGCGAATACTGTTTCAGGCCACAGTCAGGGCCGAGTCAGAGTTCCAATGTCTCCTACTGACATAGTCTTTGCTCGGATAAACGTGTAAAACTGCGATAGTCTTGTCTGAGTACGTTCGCTGTAGGCATTGATAACTGGTACTGGTGTTTCTGAGTGACAGGATGGTGCAGTATATCCTGCCGATACTTACCTCACAAGCAATTGACTTCGGGACAGTTTGAATATAATATCTAATGAATGAGTCTTTCATCTTTCTTCGTTTTTGATTTTACCTTCAATCGAACGTAGGAAAACGCGACCCCCCTGCCTAGTGAAACCTTCTCCGTTGGTGTCTGCGAAGCCAGAATAATGGTGCTTGCATGTTGAATTACAAGCATATGGAGGAAAATTGAGGATGAGCAGGTACGTTCACAAACTACGATCATCAAGTCACGTTAAACATGCTGGGCCCTTTGTTGGATTTGAGAATCTGATACCTTTCCATCTGCCTCTTCTGACATTAGTTTCCTCTTGAGGCTTTTTTACTATTCCGCCTTAAACATTTCGTATCTTCCCACTCTCAATCAATAGGACTTTTAATATAAATGCTGATACGTGCTCTGCCACAGAGATGCATTTAGCTCGAAGTGGGTTAAGAGGTAGACATGTGTTACATGCATCTCTAAATACTCAGCTGTTCTGAACTAAATACATCGATTGTGGACACTATTAAGGAGGACACTTGGAATTGAGGAAATGTAATATCAACAGTATTAAGATAAATGTCTATCGAAAATTGAACTATTGCTGCGTCAAGAGAATTTAACTTCAAAAATTCGATTTTAGTGATTACTATACATAAAGTACTATCATGATAGATTTTGTCATATTAGTAAATGTTCCATAGCATTCATTCAATCAGTGTGATAAATGTATCATTTTGCTAGAAATGGATTTCAATGTTCTCTGTACATTTTGTAAAATAAAATATGGAAGATACATTACAGTATGATCAAAACACACTCTCAATTAAAAGAAATCAACTTTACATCGAAAGAAAGAACCTTGGCATTGTGACGATTTTTTGTGTTTAAAATGGAATTTCAGGAGAATTCTCAAATGAGGAGATACTCCGACTTCACCAAGATGCCGTTAGAAAATAGAAATAAAATTTCTGTGTCATATGACATAAGTTTGTTGGTTCACGTTAACACAAGATTAAGTGTACCAAGTTGTGGTCTGACTCTCCCTTCTTAATTACGTTTCCAACATGTCTATAATTTTCAAGTATATTCTAAAACCCTTCATAGTGGTCTAAGGAACCGGTCCAAAAGTTAGTGTTTGAATCAATCTATGAAACCTTTTCAGCACAGGCCTATGACTGTATGTAATCTTCCTCGCTTGAAGAATGGTAAATTCACTTGATGGTGAGTTGCTGTATAGGCAAGCAGTACTCCGTTTGAGCAGAAGCTTTGCAATAATTGGAAGAGAACCACACCCATATGCTCGTTGAAGTTAAAAAATCAAAATAGATATAACTATAACTTAGTTAAAGTTCAATGATATTTGAGAAATATTCGAAAATTCAGGATTTTTACTACTTTTTCCTACTTCACTATAAATTGAAATAACCTCAGAAATTAATGAGTATCCAAAAAAGTATGAAAAATCCTGAAATGACTTCGAAAACTTTCTTAACGAAGCAGTTTTACTTTTCAAGTGTCTTATGAGTAGAAAATCTTACCCTCGGCATCACACTTTCCCTGTTGATAAATGTCACTCCCTCGCGCATCTTGACTCGAGCTTCCTAATCATATTACACTCACTTATTCGTGTCTCCTCTTGTTCCCAGCTGCACTGTTGAGGTCAACCCATAGCTTGTTATACACTTCATCATCTTCTCATTAGCTCGTCTTTTCTAAACATCACATGTTACTCCAGTAAACCCCGTCCACGTATTCTAAATTGATCATTTCCAACCCATCTGATATGGAGTTAAAATCTTGACATCCCATGCATGGGCTTCCTGCAGTGACTCCTTACCATGCATTGATCTCTTCATCTTTAACGGGGTAACAAAATTTCATACCATCTTTTGTTTAGATCCTCCAACCTTGACAAAGTGAAACTTTCCCTGCATCATGCTCACCTGCAACCTTTACACCACCTTCACTTGCATCTTCCTCATATCATTTTGACTTTTGTCTAAAATAGCTAATTTCATGATTCGAGTGCTCTCTTTTCTTGTTCATTGATGTTCTACCCGCGCACAGTACAGACTCCCGAGTGTCTTCAGTAATTAGATCCGACTGCCATGATAGAGCAAACCATTATGTCTAGCCATTGTCATTTTAGCTCGACTCATGTCTTGAATCTGCTTACCTGATCGGGTCTTGACTTCTCACCGTGCCTGCTAAGTACGCCTTCAGTTTTTTAACTGAATATACTTTCAAGCACAGTCACAAGAATAAAGTGAGAACCTTCTCTTCAGTCTGAAGAGCCAACTACACAGCCAGTATTGAAAACTTCCTGAGTCACAAGAATAAAGCTAGAACCTTCTCTTCAATGTGAAGAACCACCTAGACAGCCAATATTGGAAACTTCCTGACTATGAGCGGATGTAGCTAGTTGAAGTAATAGTTTTTCAAGACTAACGCTAGGCAAATGGTGCTTTATAAGTGAGATGAATCTCCACTAACGAATGAAAGTGAACGTATAATTTGTTCAAATATCATTGAAATTCAACTAAGCCGTTATAGTTATAACTATTTTGATTTTTCAACTTCAACTAGCATATGGGTGTGGTTCTTGTGAGATATCAACTTCAGTTGCATATCATTTTCTCTTTTAGAGTATTTATCGTTTAGTTATAGCTCGCTGATGGGTCAATATCTTATGGGCGATGTAAGAATTGACAGCTTTGATTCATTCTGATTTTTACCGTTATAAGGTACCGTCATAAGTCAGGATAATATAAAGTCAATAAGCGAATCAAGGCAATGCATTAGAGTGATAAGGATTTCAAGAATGGTCTAGAGAGAGAACGGGGAGACACATAGAGAGTGGGAATCATCTGTGAGGAAGTGGTAGTCTTGTTCTGGAACACGAGTGATTTTTCCTGTGTGTAGTTCTCACTTGACTGAAACCTTGTAATGACGGTAGGAATGTCAAGTCTAACAAAACTGATCTTGCATATATATATATATATATATATATATACTCTCGAACTGCCTTCATTGAGGACTTCGCGAGTACTAGGCTTTGAAGCTAAACCTCGTCAACAAATGCTTGTGTTTGTATGGTGGGTGGACTGTGATTTTCTGTAGGTTATGGGGATTCAGATCCCTATAGTGGTATTAGAGCATCGTAGCATTGATCTCAAATTCACAGCTTCGTCGCATCTGTCTCCTACGTTGAGTTCAACCTGGCGGACTTGGAAGCATCGAGTCGCCTCGTTGGGCATATCAACGAGCCAGAAAAGAACGACGACCTTCCACAGCAAAGCACCAACACAAATTTGTCTCAACGAAGCATATCAAATCTCAGTTCTTGGAATCATTCGACAACAATGAGAATAGACATTGAAAAGTTTGATGGCACGGAAGATTTTTGCATCTGGCGCCAAATAATTTCAGCTCTCCTTGCCCAATAGAGATTGCTGAGTGTCATGTCCTGCCCAGTGCTATGGCCTGAAGATATTCTCCAAGATCAAAGAGAAGATATGTCTGAAACGGCTATGGGTATAATAATTTTTCACCTTTCTAATTCAATTATTCGTTTTATTGACAAAAAATACACACCAACGAAGGTGTGGAAGAAGCTTGAAAAGATGTTTCAACCTCGCTCTCTCTCCAACAAGATCTAGCTGAAGGAGAGTCTTATTGGGTTTAGTATGGACCAGATGAAGCTAATCTAGACGAGTTCTTGAAGATGATCATTGAACTTGCAAATTTTGGCGACAAGGAAAGAGCTCAGCGACAAAAATAAGGCAATTATTATTCTCAATTCTCTTCTAGAGGCATACAGGAAGGTGAAATTGGCAATCAAGTATGGGAGGTCATCAATGATTCACCCTATATGAAGTGATATACGCGTTGAAATGGAAAGATTTAGAAATCAGAGCAGACAATAAGTCTTTTGATGATGGCAAAAATCACATCATTCGTTGCAAACAGCAACGCAACAACACAGATGGTAGCAACTTCAAGCCCAAGAACCATGGCAAAGCATCTACAAAGATCAACAATCGAAGTATCAACTCCGACGTTGACAAGAAGTGCTTTTTTGTAACAAGATGGATCAAATCAAGAAAGATAGTTAATCATGAAACAAGAAAAGCAAGGAGAATCAAGCTAGCACATCACAAGGTCATCAAGATTTAGCAAAATTTGATGATGGCTACAACGATGGCAAAGTTCTCATGGCATCGGAAAGCTCAAGGCCTCGGAGTGGATACTTGACTCTATTGCACCTATCATATGACACAGAACAAGCATTCGCCGTTAGACTACTAAGAACTTAATGAAGGAAAGGTAATAATGGGTAATAACCATTCTTGTATAGTTGTTGGTATAGTATCTGTTAGCATTAAGATGGCTGATGGTGTTGTGAGAACTCTTGAAAATGTTAGATGTGTACTTGAATTGTCTAGAAATCTGATCTCTATTGGCATTTTTGATGACTTGAGTTATACTAACAAAATAGAGCAAGGCTTTATGTATATTGCAAAAGGTGCTACTGTTTTGAAGGGTATCAAGATAGGCGGTTTCTATTATCTCATTGGAGAGACTCTCCATGGAGTTGCTTCAATTGTCACTACTCAAAATGTCAGCAAAGCTACACTTTGGCATTGAAGTCTCTGCCATATCACAGAGAAGGGTCTACAATTGATGAGCAACCAAAATTTGCTAGGAAAAGACAAAGTTAGCAAACTTGATTTGTGCGAGCATTGCATTTTGGCAAAGCAACACAAGCAGATATTCCCAACCGGAAAGCACACGTCTACACAAGTACTTGAGTACATTCACTCAGATTTGTGGGGAACCTCAAGGACAACAACACATGGCAGTAACCTCTATTTCTTATCTATCATTGATGATTTCTCTAGAAAAGGTTGGATATCTTTGTCAAAACACAAAAATCATGCTTTTGAGAAATTTAAAGAATGAAAAATTTTGGTTGAGAATCTAATTGAAAAAAAGGTTAAGACCTTAAGAACGGATAATGATCTTTAGTGTTGTAATGCTGAGTTTGATCAATTTTGTGCCAATGAGGGTATTCAAAGACATAAAACTATGAGACTAACCCCTCAGCTAAACGGAGTTGCTGAGGGAATGAACATGTCATTACTGAACAAGGCAAGAAGCTTGCTATTCAAATTCGGATTGGCTAAGGCTTTTTGGAGGGAGGCAATGGTCACAGCGGCATATCTTGTGAACAGATGCCCTTCAAGTGCCATTGAGTTCAAAACACCAGAAGAAAAATGGAAATCAAGGCCATCCAATCTCTGCGGCACGATGCGGCTTTAAGATATAAACCGCTGTCCTTGCGACCTC